AGCGATGAGTGGAATCTATCATTGGTCTCTGTCTCCAAGAAGTTTAAAAATATGAATGAACTTAAATGAAGAGAACTATCAACTTAGAGCTAGCAGGGATCAAAGTTCTCAGTAGGAACACAGAATTAATGTGATTTCCTCATCTCCACTCTGCTTCTCGCCCCTAAGCTGGGTACTGGAAGTAGGGACTGTGTTACATTCTAGTTCCACCTGGCTGCTGACAGAGGGGAGATATACTCAGCTACAAGTTCCTAAGTAGCTCTAGTTTAAAGCCTCAAGCAGGAGGCAAAGCCAATCTCCAGAAGATCCAGGAAAACTCTGCCTACTCTACTTGCCTCCTGGCTGGTTACATTGTTATTAGCCCCAAATCTGCTATTTTGCATGGGAAAAATAAAGCCTGAGATTAGAGTAGGCTCAGAGCTGGCTAGAGCTTTACAATTTTTTCGTTTCCTGGTGCCCACAGAACCAGGGGCAGGGGGATGACGCACAGACCACGAAGCTGCTGGAGTTAGAACCAGATGGGGTGCTCCCCATCCTCAAATTTAAGCCTTAATTTAAGCCTGAGCCAGGCCTGGCAGTGTGATGGCTGGGTGGGAGGAGGTGGAGGGAGTTCTTGCTGCTGACCTTCAAAGGCTGTAGACCAACCGGAGGGTATCTTGTTACGTGCCCTTGAACTCCTGTCCCTCCCCCCTCCCCTGAATGGAGTCAGGAATTCCATTCACAAAATGGAGGCATGATTGAATCCTAAGTCCCACCTCCTTCCCCGGAGGTGTCGGGTTTCAGCAGCTCATTCATAGGTGGGAGTGGAGTGGGGCGGAAAGGGGTTGGAACTTGCACTCGTGGCGCTTCCAAAGGTGGAGCAGGGAGTTTCGAGTCCTGTGGAATGGAATGAAATGGAATGGAGTCGAGTAGAGTGGAAGGAAATGTCCATCAGACCCCAGAAAACGGCTTCATGCCCGCTGCTTCTTCACAGATGCAGAGAGGCTGGCAGGCTGGTGCATTTTTTTGTCTCTGTCTCTCTCTGATATACACACACACACAGACTGGGAACCTGACCTGCTGACCGGACGCGTGCTCATTCCAAGGGAGTCTTAGGCGTGGACACTGAACCCTTTCCCCGGAGGTTCATCTCTCACCCTTTCCTCCCCCTGAACTCACAGGAAACAGCTGTTCCCAGGAATCCTGGGCCTTGTGGGACAGCTTGCCCAGCCCCAGCTGCTGCCATCTATGCCCTCTGCCATAGCCCTCAAGCTGAGGGGCTCCCCCTCCAACTTCCCCTGGGATTTGGTGGTGGGCAGGACAGTCACCGGAAAGCAGGCTGGCAAGAATGCCTTGAATGTGTGTAGGGCTTCCTCCTCAGCCACCTATAACACCAGCTTCTTCCCCTGCAGATGTCCCTGGGTGTGCATCCATGTACCTTCATACAGAGGGTTTCTCCGGGCCCTCACCAGGTGATGGGGCCATGGGTAAGATAGCCCCTTACTTTCCCAGCCAAACCCTCCAAGTTAGGGGAGGGAGAGTAGTCTTAGGGGAAGGGGAAAGTTCCCTAGCCAGGAATCTCTTTAGATTCTGGGGAACTCTAAGATCTGAACAACTCCTAACTTCTTCCACAAGGATATGGCTATGAGAAACCTCTACGACCATTCCCAGATGATGTCTGCGTTGTCCCAGAGAAATTTGAAGGTCAGCAAAGTGATTTCATGGGAGGGTCAGGGTCTTGCCCTCTTCCAGCCCCCACAGGATCGCCTTGCTTTTCCTTTAAGAGATCAAGAAAGGGGCCCCTAAGAAGACCCTTGGGGAGGCCCCCTGGGAGAAGGGAAGAGGTTGGTTGAGAGAATAGAAGACACACACCTTATGCCTCCTAATTTCATGTCCTTAGGAGACATCAAGCAGGAAGGAGTTGGAGCATTCCGAGAGGGGCCACCCTACCAGCGCCGGGGTGCCTTGCAGCTGTGGCAGTTTCTGGTGGCCCTGCTGGATGACCCAACAAATGCCCATTTCATAGCTTGGACAGGCCGGGGGATGGAGTTCAAACTAATTGAGCCTGAGGAGGTGGGTCTCGCAGACATCCCCATCCATACTTGCCCACAGCTTGGGAACCTGGAGAGGGTGTCATGCACCTTTACAATTGTCCTTACTCTGCTTAACCTGAATTCTTGCCAAGCCAGATCCTGAGAGCCAGCTGGGCTAGTTGCAGGGCTAGCTTAACTCCTTGAGACAACAATTCCAAGTGTTCTTTCTGACCTGTCCCCCACTGTCCTCCACCCTAAAACTTGTCTCTTTTGTCCCCAGGTTGCCAGGCTCTGGGGCATCCAGAAGAACCGGCCAGCCATGAATTATGACAAGCTGAGTCGCTCTCTGCGATACTATTATGAGAAAGGCATCATGCAGAAGGTCAGGACTGGGGGGGAGGGGGGCCGGCACAGGACAAAGGAGAGGTGGCAGTGGCTGTGGGGAGGGAGTAAGGGAAGGACATGGAGCATTTCTCAGCAAATTTGTAGGAGCAGAACATGAATTAGTCAGAGGGCCCAGGACATGATGGGCAACCTCAAGATTCCCCTCAGGTAGAAATGTGCTAATGAAGCTGGGTGCTGTGGATTACAAGCTTATCACCCTAGCTATTTGGGAGGTTGAGACTGAGGATCATGGTTTGAGGTCAGCTGGAGCATAAAGTTTGTGAACTCCATCTCAACCAAGGGCTGGGCACTGGAGGGTACACTTGTTATCTAAGTTTCAGGAGAAACACAATGGCCTCTCTGGGCATGAGAAAACCGATGCATGAAGGAGCGGAGGCATGACTCAAGTGCTAGGGCACCTGTCTTGCAAGCACAAGACTAAACTCTCTAGTATATTTAAAAAAAAAAAAAAAATGCGCTAAGAAACTAGAGATTGCAATCAGAAGTGAACAAGGACCAGAGACATGAAGGAACTGGTTTCAGAAGGGAACTAGTTTGGGAGGGAAAGGTGGCCCAGCCTTCTACCCAGACCAAGACGAAGGCTACATTCTCTAGTCCTGTCCTGAGGTAGAGGTCATAATGGCTCACCCAGCCCCTCTCTTTCCATAGGTGGCCGGCGAGCGTTATGTGTACAAGTTTGTGTGTGAGCCCGAGGCCCTGTTTTCTCTGGCCTTCCCGGATAATCAGCGTCCAGCCCTGAAGGCTGAGTTTGACCGGCCAGTCAGTGAGGAGGACACAGTCCCTTTATCCCACTTGGACGAGAGCCCTGCCTACCTCCCAGAGCTGGCTGGCTCTGCCCAGCCCTTCGGCCCCAAGGGTGGCTATTCTTACTAGCCACCAGTGACATCCTCCTTGCCACAGGTAGAAGATGCCCTGTGTACGTATTGATGAATCTGATGTTGGGGAAACCCTCAATCTGAAACCCACAGATGTCAATGGGGAAGGTCCCCCAATGTCCCATCAGTCACCTTTGCCCCAGACTCTGGGCTGCTCGCCTGAGTCTTTAGGGAAGGACAAGTGGAGAAAGGCCAAGTCCAGAGGCAAGGTCTCAGAAGTTCCCCCTGATGTTTCACCTCTGCCCCAGGTCAGTTCAGACTCTGCCTAAATCCTCAGATGTTTAAGTCCTGCTCCCCTTCTCCCAACACAGATAACAAGCCTTTGTTCTGTTCCGGGGATAGAGAAGTGTCCCAACTTCATCCTGTCAGGGCCCAGAGGTTCCCTAAGCTCCCCAGTTGTTCTACTGCAGGGGACCCAAGCGTGGACTCTGCACTCCATCCCAAGCTATGGCCCCAAAAGGCCAGGCTGTCCTTTCTTGGTGCTCTGTGCTCCGTGCTCCCAGAGGCAGGAGCAGGTGGGGTGTTTGGTGGAGGCAAAGGGCATGGGGTTCTGCTCCAAGGATCCTTTGTCTCCCCCCTGCCTTGTCCAGGCCCACACAGGCCTGGGATTCCACCTCCACCCCATCTGTCAGACCTTAATAAAGGCCCCTGCTCCTCACTTCACTCTTCAATCTGCAGTTCACTGGCATGGGGCAAAGACCTGGGGTGGAAAGAGCTCTGGCTTCAGGGACAGATGACTGAAGTTTAGGGTCTGTAACACTTTTCCTTGAAGATGTGGGAAAAAAGCAATTCACCTCTGACTTTGATATTACTCTGAAAAATGGATTTCATTATACTTGCTCTTCCCTCTCCCAGGGTTATCATGCCAGGATGCCTAGTAGACAAAAAGTGTTTTATAACTCAGTAAGGGCCCTTAGCCACCGTTAGCATGGTCATCATAGCAGGCTGCCTCCCTCTGGAGTTCACTCCATGATCACACTTGCTCCTATGACCAAGGTTGCCTCATGTGTACCCCAACTGACCCTCCTTCCAGCCTCAGATAGAGACAAGGTTTTGGAGAAAGGCATCAGGCATGGGTGTAGGGGTAGGCCAGGTCCATGGTAGGCCAATGAAAGAGACTCAGGGCAAAAGGCAGTGTGGATGGGTAAAAAAGCTGACAGCTAGAGGCAGTGTGGAGGAGAGGAGCAAGCAGTGGGGTAAGATATGAGGGGCAAAATGGGTATGGCTAGAGAGAGACCCAGTACAAACTGCTTACCAAGAGAGAGCAGAGATAAAAACTTAAGTTTCCTATTCAGTGGAACCGCAGAGGTGCAAAGGTGGCACTGGTCCAGTTCTGTTAAAAGTCTGAACCACCTCTGACAACAGCCTCAGGCTAGCACCAATCCAGGACCTGGCACACTTACCAACATGACTATAAATAAAAAGCAACATTTTCTTTCCCTAGGAAAACATCAATTGTCAACATACCAAAAATTTAGAGCAAAAGACAACATCTTTTTTTTTTTTGTCCTGGAGCTTGAACTTTAGGTCTGGGCACTGTCCCTCAGTTCTTCAGCTCAAGGCTAGCACTCTACCACTTGAGCCACACTTCCGAGCTTTTTTTTTCTGTTTATGTGGTGCTGAGGAATTGAACCCAGGGCCTCATGCATGTGAGGCAAGCACTCTACCGCCAAGCTTCCTTCCCAGCCCCGACAAAATCAATTTTAAAAAACATGTTTTAAAAAATAGATATAATTTAATTCTGTAATAAAGCCAGGTTATCATGTTGGGAAGAAGGTACAAAATGTGTGGAAATTCAAGGTCTGGTGCAAGAGTCCATTAAAAAAGCTCTCCACAGGCTAAGCCATTTGCTCCCTGTTCTCATCTGTTCCTTAAACTGCAACTCAGAGCTCTGCTCAAATCCTCAAACATGGAGGAACACTGCTCTGCTAGAAAGAACAGCCACCAGCCAGAGGAAACTGGCCAAAGGAGGTGCTCCAGTGGGCGTAAGAGCCTGCAGAGCAGGCTCTTATGGGAGTGGCATATGTGCACAGAGATGCTGCACATGTTCAAGGCAGCAAACAGCATCCTAAACTAGGATCCTGCTAAATTAGGGGAAACTATATTGTAATGGCTAGAAGACTCCTGTTGTGTGTGTGCACAGATACCCCACATCTTCCTGGGCTGTCAGTCATGTGAAGAACTGGTTCCACTATGTGAGAGCAGCCTCCACTCTGCTGTCAACATGGCTATTCTGAGGACAAAAGCACATTGTGATCACAGAGAAGGGACCCCAACTTGGTGATAAATGTGGTCAAGAAACACCCACACAGTGGGGATCTTACCTACCTCCAGCAGAAGGATAAGCTGCCCTGCTGTCCCTCTGGCCTACTAAACAGCCTCTTTCAACCTAAAAACCCAGCGTCATCTTCTTAGGTACCAAGAGTGTCAGTGCTGAGCACAGCTGGGACAGGTCTGGCCACCGCAGCCAGGGGCTGCTCCAGATCAGGGAGATCCAGGCTCTAATAAAAACGGGAATGGGGTGCTGGGCCTTGTTCAGTTTCATCTGGCAGTCCCTGCACCGTCTCTTCACAAGGCCTTCCAGGATGCCGACACACTGGCCCTTCATTGCTGGCCTGGGCTCACTGAGGAGCTCACTCTAACAGAATGGAGAGGCGCTCACTCAGCTTAATGAAGGGCCAGGGATCTGCAGTCAGCACGCTCCCTGGCCTACATTCTCTCTCTTGGAGTCTCTGAACTGTGTCTTTAGGGTGCTTTCTCTGCTGCCAGGGACCACACACATTTCTTTATACTCTAGAATGTCATGCAGTCTCTGGCATACAAGTCTAGTATTTACGCAATTTCAGAGTTTACTAACATACAGGGGTAAGCAGTGGGTGCCCAATCTTTCAGGGACTTCAAAAGTCTTACCCAGCAGGACCTGCTGGGCCTCTTCACGTGCTTTGCAGGGGAACACTAGGAGGTGGTCATTTCCCAACTAAATGCTAGGGGAAAACAAACAAAAAACAAAACAAAAACAACAACAACAACAAAAAACAAACTAAAACCCACTAAGAACAGCCCCAGAACACAAATCGGCTGTTTTTCTCTTGGGGTAGGGGAGGGGAAGGAAGGGGAGACTTCGACTCTAAAACCCCCTTAATTAAGTCCACTGAGGATGTCAAGGGGAAAAAAATATTCAAAAACAATGCAGGGTGTATTCACTGGATGTTTCCAAAAGAATGAGGCACAATATACATGGAGAGAGGGGAGGGGAGATCCTCTGTGTTCACACGTGGCATCTAAACTATCAGGTGCCAGACTGAAACTCTGTGGCACATCGACTGGCAGGGCTGGGCTTGCTCCTCCAGGGCTGAAAGGTCTACGCTGGGCATCATGTCAAAACCCAAGGGTTAGACTCTGGTTTCAGGGGTTTGTCTTTACCCCGATTCCAAGCTGAGATGCTAACCTTTCAGCAAAAAGAAACAGAAAGAATCACATTCTTGTTTCCTTGAAAAAATAAGTAATTCTAGGTCAAGCTAAAGGATGGACAGGAAATGATGGGCAGGAAATGAGCCCCCACTGGAACAAGCACTGTGGTTCTCTCCTCCAGGGAGCACCAACCGGGAGACATCAGGGTTCTCGTTGGTCTGTCATGTGTAACACACTTGCTTACTCCCCTTTTCTATCCCAAGGATGCACAAGCTGCCCCTTTCTTGAGGATGATGTAATGTGTCCCCAGGCTGGCTGTGAGACCCAAGTAGCCCCAAAACTTGGGTGGGTTGGTGGCTATGGTCAAAGCCAGGCTTACACCAGAGAAGAAGAGTCACGTGTAAGAAATTGCCATTAAGACATATAGTCACAAGACAGCTGTATGTTCCATATCAGCTTCTCATCAGCAAGAGGAAGGCTAAGCCCTGGCCATGTTGCAGGATGGGCAAGTGGACAAGCTTGCCTCTCAGCGTCGCCGGAAGGCCCGGGATATTCTCCAGGCATTTGGCTCCTCGTAGCGGTTGTATAGGGGTTCGAGTCTCTGCTGCTTCTTCTGCTTGCTTAGCTTGGTTGGATCAGAGACCTTGAAGAAGGCTGGGGCAAACTCCACGAGCCACCGGGGGTCAATGGTGGTGACTTCACGCATGTACTCCTTTGTGGTCAGCACCAGTTCATGATACACCACCCTGAGGGCAACAGATATGACTCAAAGCTTGGATCACAGGCCCCATTCCAACCAACCTGGTCCTCAGTGGGCCACAGCTAGCCAGGTACTTGCCCTCTTATTTCTGCTTGATTCCATAAGAGACTGGACTGTCTATGACAACTAAACTGCCATACTAGGTGCCTACACCCCTCAAACACAAGAAAATTCACAGGAGAATATCTTCTAGTCTTAGCTCTGGCTTGAAGTACTTAAGGGACATGGATCCAGTGCTACCCTTTTCTCAGGATCTGTTTCTTGCTCCATATATAAGAGGGTGGTTTTTCTGATGGTTTCCACAGAATCCTTGGTTTCTGTGGAGGGACTTGCAAAGTACTGCAAGGAGATAGGGCAAGGTGGCAAGAGTCTAACCCTCCTTCTGCTGTGGGAGCAGGGTGGTTTTGTTTTTAATATTTTATCAAGTAATTGGATAAACAGGTTTCAACTCCAGAAGTCAAATTATGAATACAATGTTATCCCTTATCAATGTCACCCTCCATTGTTTAAAGCAAGCAGGTTGATGTTAAGTACAAGTTTTCCATAAAAGTCCAAGTTTTTTACACATGCTACTTAAAACCTTTTTTGTGCCAGTCCTGGGGGTTGAACTCAGGCACTGTCCCTCAGTGTCTTTACTTAAGACCAGTGCTCTAGCATTCTGATAGTTAACTTGGAGATAAAGAGTCTCACAGACTTTCCTACCTGGGTTGGCTTTGAACAGTAAACCTCAGACCTCAGACTTCTAAGCAGCTAGGATTATAGGTGTGAGCCACCAACACTCAGCCTCTTAAATTATTATTTTCTTTTTTGACAGTCTTGGGGCTTGAACTCAGGGGCTGAGCAGTCCCTGAGCTTCTTTTGCTCAAGGCTAGCACACTACTACATGAGCCACAGCACCACCTCTGGCTTTTTCTGTTTATGTGGTACTGAAGAATTGAACCCAGGGCTTCACGTATGCTAGGCAAACACTCTACCACTGAACCATATTCCCAGTCCACAGCTACTCAAACTTTTAAACCATTTCACTAAACATTTTTTCTTTTCTTTTGTCGATTGTAGGGCTTGAACTCTGGGCCTAGGCACTGTCCCTGATCCCTGTATTCTTCAGATCAAGGCCAGCGTTCTAACACTTGAGCCACAGCACCACTTCTGTTTTTTTGTTTGTTTGCTTGCTTTTGCCAGTCCTGGAGGTTGCACTCAGGGTCTGGGCACTGTCCTTGAGCCTCTCTGTGCTCAAGGCTAACATTCTACCACTTGAGCCACAGTACCACTTCTGACCTTTCTGTTTATGTGGTACTGAAGAATCCAACCCAGGGTTTCATGCATGCTAGGCAAGCACTCTACCACTGAGCTACATTCCCAGCGTGCTCATGCTGGCCAGTAGTGAAGCTTGAACTCAGGGCCTTGCACTACTGCTTGGCTTTTTCACTCAAGGCTGGTAATCTACCACTTGAGCCACATCTCCACTTCTACCTTTTTGCTGGCTAATTGGAGATGAGAGTCTCAGATCTCTCTGGCTTCAAACCCTGATTCTCAGAACTCAGCCTGCTGAGTAGCTGAGATTATAGATGTAAGCCACTGGTGCCCAGCTGAGTTTTTCTCAAAAGTGCTTGGTACTGTGCCTACTCAGGCTAGTACTGTCCTAGAAATATAGTAGTGGAGAACACAAGGGCAACACCTGGAGATGTATATGTTCTCTCTGCTCAAAAGAACCCCTAGGACCCAGAAGCAGCACCTACCATTCTGGCTGTCTGTTGAAGAGCGCACTGGAAGGGTGGATGTAAACCACCTGCTGGTCGATCAGGGTCCTATAGCCCTCCTGCGGGTCTTTCTTGGCAGCATTACGGAAGAACCCACTGCAGATGGCCTTCTGCACTCGGACTGTGGACTTGCCACAGGACACCACATCCAGCTTGTGTCTATCAGGAGAATAAGAGCAAGAACATGAAGTGACTCTTTCAAGTGTGCTATCTTCCAGAATGAAAGTGCCAGTGCTCCCAACATAAGGCTTTCAGAGTAGTTTCCAGGATCTTCCTCTCACAGCCCCAAGTGTAGCAGAGAAACTCCACAGCAGGTTAGATGGAGGTGCTGTAAGCCAGACACTTCCTTTAAGCAAGAATTCTACTCCAGACTAGTAACGTTCCAGTGCCTTATAAACAAAGCATTTTTCAACCAACAAACTGCTTTCCTCTTAGAAATTTTGTGTGTGTGTGTGTGTGTCATGAAGCCTGAACTCTGGGCCTGGGCACTGTTCCTCAGCTCTTCAGCTCAAGGCTAGCACTCTACCACTCGAGCCAGAGTGACATTCCCGGCTTTTTTTGCTTATGTGGTGCTGAGGAATCAAACCCAGGGCTTCATATATGCAAGGCAAGCACTCTACCACTGAACCACCTTCCCAGCCCCCTCTTAGGAATTTTTTGAGCTGATTATTAGCTTGTCTGGGAAGAAGAAGGAATACAACATGGACAGAAAAACTAGGAGCAGTGAGAGGACAGGTGCTTTCCAGGTCCATTTAGAGACAAACATGTGACACTCAGCCCAGACACATTCCTCACTTACCTGTCCATTATGCCTAACATCTGCTTACGGATGTCCTGGGCCCGGCGCAGGGAACGGGCCTGGATAAAGTTCTCGTAGCACCATGGGTTGGAGAACTTGTTGTTTTTCCAGGAGTTGTACACAGCCAGAAGGGTGAGATGGTCCCCTTCAGTCTGGTGGAATTTGGCCTTCTTCTGATCTGCGAGGGCTTGCTTATCCTGTCAGGTGGTGTGACAATGGTCATTTCTCACCCAACAGCTTCTAACTGAATATCCGAATTACTAGGGAGCCCTACCCAGCCAGTCATGTCAGCAGTGCCCCATCAAGCATCACAGTGGCAATATGATGAGTCTACCCACCCCTGTCTGAACTGGGAGCTAAACATCCTACCTTGGGCCTGTAAAAGACATTCTGCACTGACAGCATGGACACAATGGTCAGCATTTCTTCACTGCAGCCTAGATGCACAGACATGATGAGCATTTTGCACAGCATTGGTTCTAGAGGGAACTCTGCCATCTAGAGGGAGAAGAAGAAACTGTACAAGTGAGACACTGGACAGAACGACTATAGATGTTCCCAAATTGTTTCCTTTCCCAAGTAAACCCCAATGAAATGCAGGTGACCAAGAACATAACTACTAGCCAAGTATGGTGGCTCATACCTATAATCCTAGCTACTCGAGATCAGGAAGATCAAGGTTAAAGGCTAGCTGGAGCAAAAAAGCTCATAAGACACCAAACTCAATCAACAAAAGGCTTGGTGCAAGCCAAGCACTGGTGGCTCACACCTGTAATCCTAGCTACTCAAGAGGCTGAAATCTGAGGATCACGGTTCTAAGCCAGCAGGGGGCAGGAAAGTCTCTAAGACTCTCATCTCCAATTAACTACAGAAAAAAGAAGCCAGAAATGGTGCTGTGGCTCAAAACTGTAGAGCATTAGCCTTGAACACAAAAGCTCCGGGACAGCACCCAGACCAGAGTTCAAGCCCCAGGAATTGGCGTGCACACAATTTAGCTGTATGGGAAGTATAAATTGGAGGATCTTGGTTGAAGCTGGCCTGGACATAAAAGCTAAAGCAAAACCCTATTTGAAAAATAACTGAAGCAAAATGGGCTGAATACAAGGCTTAGGTGGTAGAGCACTGGTCTGACAAGCTTAAGTACCTAGTTCAAACCCCAGTACTGCCAAGAAAAAGAGTATAAATAACTGCCAGAGGACCACAATTTGAAATGAGCCCAGGTAGAAAAGTCTGTGAGATTTATCTCTATTAAACTAATAACAACAACAACAACAAAAAGCTGAGAAGCTAGAAATGTTGCTGTGACTCTGGTGGAGCACTAGCTTTGAACAAAAGAAGCTCAGGGATAGCAGCCAGGCCAGAGTTCAAGCCCCAGGACTGGCATACACACACAAAAAAAAGCATGTGTGGGGCTGGGAAGTTGGCTCAGTGGTAGAGTGCTTGCCTTGCATGCCATGAGGCCCTGGGTTTGAGTCCTCAGCACCACATAAGCAAAAAAAGCTAGAAGTTGCACTGTGGCTCAAGTGGTAGAATGCTAGCCTTGAGCTGAAGAGCTGAGGGACAGTGCCCAGGCCCAGAGTTCAGGCCCCACAACCCGGGGGGTGGGGGAGTAGGGAGCATCTGTAACAGGATCCTAAGTTTATAGCTATTCAGGGCTACACAGCAAATTCCAGGTCTAACTAATCTACGTAGCAAGATCTTGTGATAATTTACACATGTAATACCAGTTACATGGAAGGCAAAAGACTGGAGGACAGCAATTTGGGGCCAGCCCAGGCAAAGTTAGCACTAGACACTATCTGAAAAGCAAACTAAAAGCTGAAAGGACCTGGGGAAAACTCGTAACTATTTATTGCTGAATACAGAGACTTTGAAAGGATGTTTTGTCTGTTTTTGAGATAGGGCCTTGCTTATATAGCCCAGGCTGATCGTGTATGCTGAGGCTCCTAGGTTTTAAGACACTTCTGGGTGTGGTGGTGCACACATGTAATCCCAGCACTCAAGATGCTGAGACAGGAGGATGAAGAGTGTAAGTCTAGCCTAGACTACATGGCAAAACCCTGTCTCAAAAAAACAAAAATTAGGGGGGGGGCGGGGGGAGGCTGGGAAGGGAAAACAAAGGAGGAGGCTGCAATGCTTGATAAGAAATGTACTCATTATCTTGCCCATCTAATTGTAACCCCTCTGTACAGTATTTTCACAATAAAAAATAAAAAAATTTAAAAACAAAAACCCAAAAATTAGCTTGTTTTTTGTTTTTTTTCTTTGTCAGTCATGGGGCTTGAACTCTGGGCCTGGGCGCTATCCCTCAGCTCTTAGCTCAAGACTAGCGCTCTACCACTAGAGGCACGGTGCTACTTCTGGTTTTCTGGTGGTTAACTGGAGATAGGAGTCTCATGGATGTTCCTGCCCGGGATTGCTTTGAATCACAATCCTCAGGTCTCAGCCTCCTAGGGTAGCTAGGATTATAGGCATGAGCCAACAGCACCCAGCTTTCTGTAGTCTTTCTCAGCCATAAAATACCTGGCCTTCTCTAGAAAATCATTTGTAGTAGTTGTTTTAAGGAAAAAATTTTTGGCTGGTCCTGGGGCTTGAACTCTGGGTGTGAGCGCTGTCCCTCAGCTCTTCAGCTCAAGGCCAGTGCTCTACCACTTGAGGCACAGTGCTACTTCAAGTTTTCTGGTGGTTTATTGGAGATAAGAGTTTCATGGACTTTCATTCCCAGGGCTGGCTTTGAACTGCAATCCTCAGATCTTAACCTCCTGGGTAGCTAGGATTACTAGCCCGGCTAGTTTAATTAAAACAAAGACTAGATTAATATATCCTGAGTAAGATTAATTATGAGTAAAAATCTTTTTGTTTTAGGAAGAATCATTTTAAAGTGATTGTAGAAAACTTCAATTTAAAAAAATATCTAGCTTGGGGATTTAGCTCAGTGGAAAAGCACTTGCCTGGCAAGTTTGGTCCTGAGCTCTGGGAGGTGAAAAAAAGTAGCTGGGCATGATGGTGAACATCTGCAATCCTAGCAATTAAGAGGCAGAAGCAGAGAAATCTAGAATTCTAGGTTGGGGCTGGGAATGTGACCTAGTGGTAAAATGCTTGCCTAGCATGCATGAAGCCCTGGGTTCGATTCCTCAGTACCACATAAACAGAAAAAGCGAGGAGTGGTGCTGTGGCTCACATGGTAGAGTGCTAGTCTTGAGCAAATGAAGCTCACGGACAGTGCTCAGGCCCTGAGTTTAAGCCCCAGGACTGACAGGGAAAAAAAAAAAAAAGGGTTCTAGGTCAATCTGGGCTATGTATCAAAGCTTCTCCAGGATCTCAGAGCTTACTTTTGCAAAACAAAGAAAATGGTAGAAGGCTGGCTTGAGAATCTTCATAAAAGTACTGGAAGTCACATCTGTCACTTACCCTGCGACCCAGGCGAGTAAGCAGGCCCTCATCATCCAGGGCCCCCAGTGTATATAGCTGCTCCATGGCTGTGATCAGAGTTTCCATTGGTGGGGCATCCATAAAGTCAAAGGACAGCAGGTCATTAATGCCCATGGCCTAGGATGGAGAAAAGAACGCAGAGATAGAAGTGGGGGTGGGAGTCAGCCTCACCATGTTAGTGCCATGGATGGAGGTCCTTTTAACTTTCTTTGCTTTGCCTCAACTGCCATTAGGAAGTACCAGTAACCTCCAGGATAACTCTGAAAACACTTCCTCAAAATAACAACAAATATAATTCAAAGACATATGACACAACTAAAAATGGGCCAAGAACTTAAAGAGATATCTCCAAAGAAGAAACACAAAGGCAAACAAGCCCTAGTAACCAGAGAAATTGCAAAGAAAAAAACACAATAAGTGCTGAGGATGCAGGACAGTGCTTGCCTAGTGCTGGGTTCAATCCCCAGCACTGCAATAAACAACCAAAAACCATGGTAGTATAAGAAACTACTTCATAACTACTAGTAGTAACTTAATAAAAATAAATAAGACCAACAGCTGGGCCCCAGTAGCTCAAGCCTGTAATCATAGCAACCCAGGATGCTGAGATCTAAGGATCATGGCTAGCAGCTAATCCAGGCAGGAAAGTTCATGAGATTTTTATCTCCATTAACTAGCAAAAAGCCAGAAATGGAGTTGTGACTCAAGTAGTATAGTGCCAGCTTTGAACAAAAAAACTAAGGGAGAGTGCCCTAGGTGAATTCAAGTTCCACACACACACAAAGAAAAGGTGATGAGGGCTGGGAAGGTGGCTCAGTGGTAGAGCGCTTGCCTTGCATGCATGAGGCCCTGGGTTCGATTCCTCAGCACCACATAAGCAAAAAAGAAAAAAGCCGGAAATGGCGTTGTGGCTCTAATGGTAGAGTGCTAGCCTTGAGCTGAAAAGCTGAGGGATAGCGCCCAGGCCCAGAGTTCAGGTCCCACTACCGGACCCAAAAAAAAAAAAAGAAAAGGTGATGAGAGCCAAGCATGTGCCACCAATCTACAATCCAAAGCAAGACAACTGTGAGTTTGAGACCAGCCTGGGTTAGACAGCAAGACCTTGTCTCAGGGAGAAGAAAAAGGATTACAATAGCTGCAGTATAGCTCAGTGATAGAGAAAGTGCTTAGTATGAGGTCCTTGGTGACAATACCATATTTTGTTTTATATGCATTTGATAATAATAATAATCAAAGAAGACAGTATGGCAGCTTGTCCTCTTATGTATATCATCTTTACTGTGCATCTATGAGGCTCAATAGGTGGTAGGCATGTAAATATGACTTACATATCTGTGACCTTTGCTCTCAAGAGTTCATAGTGGGTGAGGTCTGTGCTCATGAAACCCAACACAGCGTGGTCTGCCTGAATGGTGTCTGGGACATTTGTTAGCTAACACTGGATAAAAGAAAGAGAGTGATGTACTCTCCAAGTGTGTGTAAAGAGCAATGGGGTAGGACCCAAGGTTTTCATTTCTTTCTCATAGTAATCATGTTCATAAACACAGCAGGTGTTCAATAAATGCTTATGTGTGAATAATAACTATAAGGAACCATATTAGCAATCATTAAACATTGTGCCAAATGCCTTTCCTGATATTGTTCCAGTAACCTTTCTAACTACTCCCTGTCTGAGACAGGATTATAGATAAACTTGCCCATGGTCACATAGCTTAGACAAGAGGCCTGAGTCACAGATGCCACTCTGCTGGCACTACCAAGACAGAAGCAGGCTTTTTTTCTGAAGCTCTGTTTTAGTTTCTTTTACAGGGGATTAATAATAAATGGCAAGAGAGCACTCGGCACCAGTAAACTGCCAGGGCTTCAGGGCAGCACTGGCGTCGGGGGACATGCCATCAGCTGGGAAATTATTCATTCAGCTGCTCCTGCCAAAGCAGAATGAAGGCTCTCACTGGGGACCTGGAGAGGAAGAGCAATGATTCCGAATGAAAACCAAGCCCCCCAGAGGCCAGCCTGAAATCCACACTGATAGCCTTCCCCATATCCCTTGCAAAGATATTGGACAGGAAAGCTTTCCCCTCCTGAAAAAAAAAAAGGGGGAGAATCTGAAAGCTAAAGTGATTGAGGTTAAGTGTGTTTGTCTACAAATTGGCAAGGATTTTTTGGTTTTTGTTGTTGTTGGTTGTGGGGCCTGAACTCTGGGTCTGGACCCTGTCCCTCAGCTCTTCAGCTCAAGGTGAGCACTCTACCACTTGAGCCACAGCGCTGCTTTTGGCTTTTTTCTGCTTATATGGTGCTGAGGAATTGAACCCAGGGCCTCATGAATGCAAGGCAAGCACTCTACCACTAAGCTACCTTCTCAGTCCATTTTGTTCTTTTTGAGAAAGTGCAAATTTCTTTGTAGAACACGCTCCTAGCTAAAACTTATAACAACTAAATACCCTGCTGATGATTATGGGAAGAAATCAATGTGTGTTCAAAGCAGACATGCCAGCCTCGCCCCAGACCGGCCGTGAGGAGGCTGTTGGCACAGCCATTTCATTTCACTCAAAGGGACTGGTTCCATGAGGTTACTCAAGTATTTAACAACATTCATAAAACAGATTCATTTACAACAGCCAGGGATTGAACTGTTGCAACAATCATTCTAATAAGACAGTGATTTCTACCTTGAGGGACAGTACGGTGCTTGCCAAGTTGGTTCTCTGAATTTCTGGCACGTTGGTGGTCAGCATTTCATCTCGGTAGGCACGTTCTGTGTACAGCCTGTAACACTTCCCTGGGCCTGTTCTCCCAGCTCTGCCAGCTCGTTGCTTAGCCTGAGCCTAGGGGTGAACATAGAAATGCAACATGGCTGTTACATATTGCTTAACACTTTGCCCAGGAAGTCTGTGGAGGGAAATGGGCATGTAGCAACTAGCAAAACCCAAGATAGAGATGCTTTAACTTCCTCTAGAGCCATTTCTTTTTTTTTTTTTTTTCCTTTTTTTGTCAGGCTTGAACTCAGGGCCTGGGAACTGTCCCCAAGTTTTTCTGCTCTAGGCTAGTGCCCTACCACTTGGAGCCACAGCTGTACTTCCAGTTTTCTAGTGGTTAAATGAAGGTAAGAGTCTCACAGACCTTCTTGCCTGGGCTGGCTTTGAACTGTGATCCTCAGATCTCAGTCTCCTGATAGCTAGGATTACAGGTATGAGCCACCAGTGCTCAGCTTTCTAGGACCATTTCTAAGACTATGACAAATACTTTTCCCAGCCTTCTCCACTCAGAATTTCAGGCAAGTTTGTTCAAGGCTGGCAACTGCAAGAAAGAAAGATGAAGAAATGAGAAAGCAGAAAAGTAACAAAATACAGTTACAACCAAAACTGTAAAAGAACTAAACTATATTAATCATACAATGATTTGTATATGTGTGCTGGTCTTGAGGATTGAATTTAGGGCCTGGGCCACATATCTCTGAGCTCTTCAGCTCAAGGTGATCATTCTACCATTTGAGCCACAGTGCCACTTCTTGTTTTCTGGTGATTAATTGGAGATAAGAGTCTCATGGACTTTCCTGCCCGGGCTGGCTTCGAACCACAATCCTCAGATCTCAGCCTCCTAGCTAGGATTACAGGTTAAGCCACTAACGCCCAGCTTGTGCCACGCCTCTTGAGTTCTTTTGCTCAAGGATAGCTTTCTATCACTTAAGGCACAGCTGCACTTCTGGGTTTTTTTGTGTGCTTAATTGGAGATGCGTCTTATGGACTTTCCTGCCCAGGATGGCTTTGAACTGAGACCCTCAGATCTTATCCTCCTGAGTAGCTAGGAACAAGTGTGTGAGTCGCTGGTGCCTGGCTATTCTGCACCATTTAAAAAATCATGTTTGTACTAGGTACTGGTAGATCATACCCATAATCCTAACTACTCAAGAGGCTGAGATCTGAGGATCATGTGTGGTTTGAAGCCAGCTCAGGCAGAAAAGTCTGTGAAACTCTTATCTCCTTAAAATTAACCAGAAAAAAATCTATAAGTAAGCCAGGTGCTGGTGGCTTATGCCTATAATCCTAGCTACTCAAGAAGCTGAGATCTGAGGATTGCAGCTTGAAGCCAGCATGGGCAGGAAGTCCATGGAACTCATCTCCAAATAATCACAAAAAAGCTGGAAGGAAAGCTGTGGCTCAAGCTGTGGACTGCTAGCCTTGAGCAAGAAAGCTCAGGAATAGCACCCAGGCCTAGCACCCACACATAAAAAAACATGATCAGAGAGGTGGCTCAAATGGTAATTATCCAGTAAGCACAAGACCCTAAATTCGAACCCCAGTACAGAAGGGGAAAAAAATGCTCATAGGGGCCAAGTACCACTGGCTCATGGCTGTAATCTTAGTTACTTGGAAGGCAGAGATCAGAAAGCTAGCAGTTTAAGGCCATAAACACAGGACTCTATCTTAACAGCTGTACAACATGGCATATGTCTGTCATCCTAGCTTTTGGGTAGCATAAATAGGAGGATCATGAGTATAATAAGGAGGATATGGACATATACTTAAGACCCTATTCAAAAAATAATGAAAGCTAAAACAACTAGGAGACATGGCTCAAGTGATAGATACTGCCTAGCAAGCTCAAGGTCCTGAGTTCAACCCCTAGTTTACCCTAGCTCCCCAAAATAGGTGACCAGGTAATTTATTTTGTACATATAACTGAGGCAGGCTACATAATTACCAAAGAAATAAATATATGCAATATATATAATATTTGTATATTTATACATATTATATATATATATAAATTATGAGTTTTTAGTGTCTCAGATATTTGTAGCTTGGTACTTAAAAAAATGCATTTTCACCAACATTTGTGTTATCTATATGCTACAATCCAGTTTTGTTTTTTTTCCCCCTTCCTTCTTGTGGTGCTGGGGATAAAGGCCAGGACCTCACACATGCTAGACAATCTTTTTTTTTTTTGGGGGGGGGGGGTCCGGTTGTGGGGCCTGAACTCTGGGCCTGGGTGCTGTCCCTCAGCTCTTCAGCTCAAAGCTAGCGCTCTACCCCTTGAGCCACAGCGCCACTTCCGGCTTTTTTTTCTTTTTGCTTACATGATGCTGAGGAATCGAACCCAGGGCCTCAGGCATGCAAGGCAAGTATTCTAGCACTGAGCCAACTTCCCAGCCCTAGACAATATTTTGAAATACTACTTTAGACCACAAACAAATATGAAACCTTCCCTTCACATAATAAAAGATTTCAGTATGTGAAGTAAGTTTGAAGTACAAAACCATAAAACATTTCAGAAAGGCACTAAACCAGATTTTCAGAAAGCCACTGGTAGAAGCCACCATACCTGAGAAATAGGTGTCACCACCAACTGGTCAATCCCTGTCTTAGAATTGTAAACTTTCTGCTTCACAAACCCAGGGTCCACCACATAGTAGATGCCATCGATAGTCAGTGATGTTTCTGCAATGTTGGTGGCAATCACGACCTAGGAGGACAAAATAACAGCTGGAGTGACCTGAGTGTGCAGCAGCACATCTGAACTCAGACATTTCCTGAGGAAGTATGCTCCTTCTCTAGAAAGTTCAGATGTCATTTAATTCTAGCTCAGTTTCCAAAGCAGAAGATGAGCTGCCTTTATCCAAAGGGTTAGGTTGGAGAGAGGCTGAGACCTGAGAGAAGCAGGCCAGGAAAGAGCTAAGGCTGATCACAGCCACTTTCATTTGGTGTAAATGGCTTCATAGCTCATTGTCTAGATCCAATGTTGATTATTACAATTTTAATTTTCTAGCTCCCTGGGAAAGCAGATATTTCCTGGCATCACATGTGCCAGTACAAAATGAGATTTTTTTTTCCCCCACCAAGATATCTGGACTACAAAATAGGCTATATTATACACACACACACACACACACACACACACACACACACACGTGTGTATATATACATATGTGTGTATGTGTGTGTATATGTGTGTGTGTGTGTGTGTGTGTATGAAGAAAAAAAAGATTCTTTTTCCTGATCATAAATGAAGCATAAGGTGACAGATCAATTTCAGGATTTGTGTGTGTGCAGCAGTCCATGTGATCTACAAGTGTGTCACTGTTCTTCTACCCAGAGGATCAGCTTAAAAAACACAACTGCTTGGAAAAATCATTGCTAGAAAGTACCAAAATATTTCACTCCATACCAACATCTTACTGGCGTGCCACAGAATTGCAAAGGCCCAGCTTAGAAAATGCAACCATCAGGGATGGGACAGAGGAAGAACTTACCAACTTACCCCCAAACCTGCTCCTCCTTTACATGCCAACTAACTGCCCTAATCTGATCATTACACACTGAATATTTATATCAGCATATCACAATGTACCCCTAAAATTTGAAAAATTATGCGTTAACCAAAAATAACAAATCAACTGGAGGAAGTGCACAAATCACCCGGCTGACCAGGTAGACAAGGCTGGACCAGTCTATAGCCTCACATACAAGGCTTGCAGACTCCTTACACAATTCCTACTATGGTTGGCTGCATACTGTACAGCCAGGTGATTTCAGCACATGTTTAGCCCACTGTTACCTTTCTGCTGCCAGGAGGAGCTGGGTCAAAGATCCGGGTCTGCATCTCACTGGGAAGAGCAGAATACACTGGAAGGATAATTAACTCTGGAACATCAGGTCCCAAGGATTTCATTCTTTCATATAGGATCTCACAAGCAGTATCAATCTCTTCCTGACCAGTCAGGAAGACCAAGATATCACCTAGGAAGAGAATGGAAAATTTACTGTGTGTGTATGTCAACATGGATGTTTATGTGTTTAAGAGATGGGTCCTACTATGTTGCCTGAGCTGGCCCTAAACTGAACTCAAGTAATCTTGCTTCATCATCCTGAGTAGCCGGGCCTCCAGGTGTACACCATCAGATCTGGCGTAGTGTTCTATACAAAGGCTACAGCACATTAACAGATCTCTAAGTAACAAAAAATAGACACTCATATTGTGGCCTCTAAGTAAACCAGGAAGTTATTATTGGTTCACGTTTAAATAGGCACACTTGGCTGGGAAGATGGCTCAGTGGTAGAGTGTTTGCCTTGCATGCATGAGGCCCTGGGTTCAATTCCTCAGCACCACATAAGCAGAAAAAGCCAGAAGTGGCACTGTGGCTCAAGTGGTAGAGCTCTAGCCTTGAGCTGAAGAGCTGAGGGACAGCACCCAGGCCCAGAGTTCAGGCCCCATGACTGACAAAAAATAAAATAAAATAAAAATAAAAAAAATAGGCACACTTAAACCTAGGCATCATTCTTTATATTTTTCACAACCACAATCATTTCAAACACACAATCCTGAAACTTACAGGATTTAAAAGGCATTTCTGAAAAGTTTAGCAAACAAAATATCCCCATAATTAGGAGTTTTAGCCTAAAAGAAAATGGAAATCAGGTCTTCTCCCTCACCTGGTGGCTCAGTTAAGTGGATCTGCATGACAGTAATGAGGCTGGCATCCAGGTAATCTGTCTCAGGTTCCTTTGTGTACAGTATTTCCACTGGGTAAGTTCGGCCTGGGATGGTGAAGATAGGTGCTTCATAGAAGTACTGAGAAAACTTCACTGCATCCAAGGTAGCTGAAGTGACAATCAGCTTCATGTCCTGCCGTTTCTGAACTGTCTAAAGGGAAATACGATGTGCTTACTAAAAAGGACCACTCAAAAGGTACAGGAATTCCAATCCTAGTCCCAGAAACCAGCTCTAACAGCTAAAAGGGTCTGAGACCACCTACTTACCTTTTTCAGCAACCCAAAAAGCACGTCTGTGTGAATTGTTCTTTCATGGGCCTCGTCCAACATGATGATGGCGTACTGAGTGAGGTCAGGGTCAATCAGGCATTCCCTGAGCAACATGCCATCTGTCATGTACTTGATGACTGTCTCGGGACTGGTGCAGTCCTCAAATCGAATTGTATAGCCCACCTAAAGCAGAACAGAAGTAGAAAATCTAAGATACAAATCTCTCCTTCAAGCAATCATCAGGTAAAACTTCAACCCAGCCCAACTGGTACTCATAATCTTTTTATTTATTTATTTTGGTTGGTTGTGGGGCTTGAAATCTGAGCCTGGGCACTGTCCCTGAGCTCTTCAGATCAAGGTAAGCACTGTAACACTTGAGCCATAGTGCCACTTCCAGTTTTCTGAGTGGTTTATTAGAGATAAGTATCTCACAGACTTCCTTCCCGGGCTGCCTTTGAACCTTTGAACCACAATCCTCAAATCTCAGCCTCCTAAGTAGCTAGGATTACAGGCGTGAACCACCGGCACCTGCTACTCACACTCTTAATATAGAAATTTGACCAAGATTACAGAGATTTCATCTAGTAAAGTCTGCTTTTGGACTTGACCCTGAGTAGACCAATGACAACAATGAAAAGCTCTCATTATTTCTGATTTCTTACTGCATCCAACATGGCTAAAGTGAAAATCAGCTTTCTCATTTCTCAGAGAGAAATCAGGAAAAACAAACAAAAACTATCATTTTTACTTTACAGATGAGGGATTTGTACCTTCATACTTTTTTTCTGGCATTTCCACAGCAGTTTTACTAATCACTTACCTCTTCTTTTTTTTTTTTTTGCCAGTCATGGGGCCTGAACTCTGGGCCTGGGCGCTGTCCCTCAGCTCTTCAGCTCAAGGCTAGCACTCTACCATTGGAGCCAAGCACCACGTCCAGCTTTTTCTGCTTATGTGGTGCTGAGGAATCGAACCCAGGGCCTCATGCATGCAAGGCAAGCACTCTACCAATGAGCCACCTTCCCAGCCCCACTAATCACTTACCTCTTGACCTAAACAACAACCAAATTCCTCTGATACTCTTTTGGCCACGGACATGGCTGCCACTCTTCTTGGCTGTGTACACCCAATCTTGCCTCTGGAAGTGTAGCCTGCCTCTGCTAGGTACTGGGTAATCTGCGTTGTCTTCCCAGATCCTGTCTCTCCAATAACAATTAGGATCTGATTGTCATGAACAGCCTGAAAGCAACAAAATGCAAATAGATCCATTAAAATTTGTCACGCCTTATTCTGGATTAAATTACTAATGCTTCTGTTCAACATTAAATTAGAAATTACAAACACACCCATATAATGAACCCTATGGAAGTGTTTCTAGCCATTGCCACTCCCAATCTCTCACAGCTCTCCCCATAAAGTTATCTTTTTCTTATTTCTGTACTATTTGTAACAACAAAAGGTTGTAATCAGCCTACAGGTCTATTAACATAGGACTAGCTACATAAACATACCTACATAAAAGCACTGAAAAAGCATTTTAAAAAGGGGCTGGGTGGTGGTTGCTCATGCCTATAATCTGAGCCACTCAGGAGGCTAAGATCTGAGGACTGCGGTTCAAAGCCAGCCAAGGCAGGAAAGTCCATGAAACTCTTCTCTCCAACTAACTACCAGAAAATCAGAAATGGAGCTGTGGCACAAGTGGTAGAGTGCTAGCCTTGAGCAAAAGAGCTCAGGGACAGAGCCCAGGGTCTGAGTTCAAGCCCCACAACAAACACCAACAACAACAACAAAAAGGAACTGGGGCATAGCTCAGTGGTAGAGTGCTTGCCTAGTGTGTCTAAGACACTGGGTTGGATTCCCAGCATCCCAAAATAAAAACATAAAAAAAGAAAATGAGATACATTAATAAGTAAAAAAGCAAGACACCAAGCATATATGTAATCTGCTGTCATCTACAAATATATACTGTATATATAAAACGTGTGTGTAGCACATATTTATACTTGTTTATACACTGTGTTGGTTGGATATGGTTGAAAAAATTCACTGAAGCTAGTAAACTTGGTTCGATGCTCTTATACACAAAACTCTAAAAGGCAGAAATAAGTAGCTAAAAAGCAAAGTCTGTGCCAATATGGATTCAGAATCTACCCTCTACTTATCCCTTTTGTGGTACTCAGGCCTTCATGCTTGCTAGGCAAGTTCTCTACCACACCTCCAACCCCTTTTTGCATCAGTTATTTTCAAAGTAGAGTTTTTCATTATGCTAGTGAAGGCCTGGGCTGTAATCCTCTTAACTTGTGGTTCCCCATGGTGCTTCCATGCAAGGTATCTGGTGTATGAAGCCACAGTGCCCAGCCATTGGTTAAGATGGGAGTCTCTCCAACTTCTTTTTGCCCGATCTCGCCTGGAACTGTGAGCTTCCAGTCTGTGCTTCCCAAGTAGCTAAGATGAATAGGCTTGAACCACCTTGCAGTGGCTGTACCTTTCTTTTTTTTGGTAGGTTATGGGGCTTGAACTCTGGGCCTGGCACTGTCCCTGAGCTCTTCAGCTCAGGGCAAGCACTCTACCACTTGAGCCACAGTACCACTTCAGGCTTTTTCTGTTTATGTGGTACTGAGAAATTGAACCCAGGGGTTCATGCATGCTAGACTAGCACTCTACGACTAACTAAGCCATATGCCCATATCCTTTTCTGGAAGAACCACTTCAAAGAAGAACATACCTACCTAGCCACTTTCTGTTCTAAAATGTCATTTCTCTTGGAAAACAGCCCTCCCCCCATATATCACAGAAGGGCTTCCCACCTGGACCAGCTGCTCTTTCAGTTTATAGATGGGCAGGCTCTCCCTCTGCTCGAGGATGGACATCTGGGTCTTTTTCCCATAAGAAGCTTTGTTGCCTCCAAAGGCATGCTTCTTCCACTCGGGAATGTCATTGGGCATCATTCCAATGCCCCTCATGTTGGCAGCAATCTGCCTGCCTTCCGCTGGAAGGGAAAAGAGACAACTTAGTACTACCCTCAACATGCCACAACATACCAGGGTAAACAACGAAACAGTAGGTGGGAACCACATATGTGGTATTTCATTCAGCCTGATCCTTGAACAGTGGTGCTAAGACACTAATAAGAAGAAAAGAATGGAGAGGGAGAGACAGGGCAAGGAGGGAAAGAGCCTAATAAATGGTATCATATACTTGTAATGCCCCCCCAAAAAAGAGAAAGGTTAGTATACAGAAGTGAAGACCCAATCACTTGAATCCAGCTAGATTCTTTAAATAAATAAACAACAAAAAACCCTGCTATACTCTGATTTCTCTTTAATATAAATCTTTCACCTTTAAAAAAAAATAACTACTCTGCTGGGCACCAGTGCTCATGCCTGTAATCCTAGCTACTCAGGAGGCTGAGATCTTAGGATCATGGTTCAAAGCCAACCCTAGCAGGAAAGTCCATGAGACTCTTATCTCCAACTAACCACCAGAAAACCAGAAGTGGCGCTGTGGCTCAAATGGTAGAGCACCTGCCTTGAGCTAAAGAGCTCAGGGGCAGCACCAGGCCCAGAGTTCAAGTCCCACAACAAAAACCAACCTAACAAAAAAAACTGCTTTACTGAAATGCAAATCATATACTATATCCCTTTTCCAAGTGTCCAACTTGGTGGTTTGTTGTATATTCACAATGACAGTTGTGCAAACATCACCATTAGCTAATTTTATTTGATTTGCTTTATTACTTTGTGTGTGTGCTGTACTTGAGATCCTTGCACTCTAGCCCAGCCTACTTTCTCACAGCTGGCACTCTGTCACTTACACCTCTATTCCACCTTTTTTTTTTTTGCCAGTCCTGGGGCTTGAATTCAGGGCCTGGGTACTGTCTCTGAACTTCTTTTGCTCAAGGCTAACACTCTACCACTTGGGCCACAGCACCACTTCCAGCTTTTTCTGTTTATGTGGTACTGAGGAATCAAATCCAGAGCTTCATGCATGCTAGGCAAGCAATCTACCACTAAACCACGTTCCCAGCCCTCTAGTCCAGCTTTTTGATGGTTAATTGAATATGGAGTTTCAAGGACTTTTCTGCCTAGGCTAACTTTGAACATGTTCAAGTCTTAGTCTCCTAAGTAGCTAGGAATACAGGTATGTGTCCCGTGCCAGTAATTTTATAAAATTTTCATCATTCTAAAAAGAAATCTCAGCTGGGACCCTGCACATATTCCCCCTCTGAAAGACTAACTCCTATGTATCCTTTATCTCAATCTCTACAGGTAGTAATATCCTATAACCTGTAGTTCTACCACAATACTTCATACAGCATTCATCAGGAAATAATTTGCTATTTGGTAATTATCTAGTTAATGTCCACCTCCCTTACCTCATCACAGCAAGGATCATGTCTAATTTGCAGCTTTATCTCCAGGCAACTAACACAACTATTGACTCTGTCCAATAGTTAAGAATTATAGCACAAAAAATTACAAGAAAGGGAAGTTTTAAAATTATATTGTCTGTTGTATTTTGGGGGGGGGGGGCAGGCTTGGGGCTTTAACTCAGGGTCTGAGTGCTGTCCTTGAGCTTTTTGCTCAAGGCTAGGACTCTACCACTTGAGCTACAGCTCTACTTTCAGCTTTCTGGCAATAAATTGGAAATAAGAATTTTACATATTTGTCTGCTTGGGCTGCTTTTGAACCCATGATCCTCAGACCCAGACTCCTAAGTAGCTAAGATGATAGGTGTGAGCCACTGCCACTGGCACCCAACTTTTCTTTTTTTTTTTTAAACAGGAATTGAACTCAGGGCTTCACCCTTGCTAGGCAAGTTCTCTACCACTTGGATCATAGTTATGTGTCCAGCCCCTAAATAATTATCATTTTTCCCGTTTATGTGGTACTGAGGAATCAAACCCAGGGCTTCATGCATGCTAAGGTCGCACTCTATAACTAAGCCACATTCCTATTATCTTTAGATAATATCTTTTTTGGTGGTGGTGGTAGTCATGGAGCCTGAACTCTGGGCATGGGCACTGTCCCTCAGCTCTTCAACTCAAGGCTACTGCTCTACCACTTGAGCCACAGTGCCACTTCCGGCTTTTTCTGCTTATGTGGTGCTGAGGAATCAAACCCAGGGCTTCATGCATGCAAGGCAAGGCAAGCGCTCTACCACTGAGCCACCTTCCCAGCCCCAGATAATATAATTTTTAGAACTAAATTTAAAAGGTTATTTAGAAGAATAATTCAAGCCACTCCAATTATTTCACCAAAGGTATTTAAACATTTGTTTTAAACATCTGCTTATAAGATATATTAAAATTCTGGTGCTGGTAGTTCATGCCTGGTAATTACTTAGGAGGCTGAGACCTAAGGATTGCAGTTTAAAACCAGTCCAGGCAGGAAAGTCTGTGAGACTTATCTCCAATTAAACAACAAAATGTGCTAAGGGGAGCTGTGGCTCAAGTGGTAGAGCACCAGTCTTGAACAAAAAGCTAAGGGATAGCATCCAGACCCTGAGTCTAATTCCTAGAACTAGCACACACACATATACACACACTCTTACACAAATAATAACAAAAAACCCCAGCAGGCTGGGAATATGGCTCAGTAGTAGAGCACTTACATGCCCAGCATAACCAAGATCTGGGGTCAATCCCCAGTACCACCAAGAAAAATATAGCAAACCAACATGCTCTAAGACTATTCAGTACGTGTTGGCACTACTGTGTCTACATACACATAAAGGCTCAGATTTCTGAACAAGAACCACAACCTCCAATGCTCTTACCATCAGGCAAAGGATCAACCCAGTGTTTGTTGAGTCCCATGGGAATAGAATCCATCTCCGCTTCCCGCTGGGCTTGCTTGAGTTCCCGCCTTTCCTTGGCCAAAGCACTCTGCATCATGGCAGCCTGGGAGAGGGAACCATCTGGGTTCTGCAGCAACAGAGAGGAAAGCAACACACATTAAGTGCCTAGGAAATAAAGGCAAGTGGTTAAGCCACTATGATATAAAGTCTTAGGCCACAGATGAAACAAAGTTCTTATCAATAAACCAGACTACATGAAAGCAATGGATAAACCATAGCATACACAAATAACACAAAAAAACAACTAAAGGAACTAGGATTTTTAACTTGAAAATGAAAAAAGAGAATTAGGAGCATTATTACTTTTACTTATTTATTTACTTAGTTTTTTGCCTGTTGTGGAGCTTGAACTCAAGGCCTGGGAACTGTCCCTGAGCTCTTTTGTTCAAGCCAAGTGTTCTAACACTTTGAGCCACAGTTCTATTTCTAGTTTTCTGGTGGTTAATTGGAGATAAGAGGATCATGGACTGCCTGAGCTGGCTTCAAACCATGATTTTCAGTCTCAGCCTCCTGAGTAGCTAGGATGACAGATGTGAGCCATTAGCACCCAACCTAACATTATGACTTTTAAACATTAAGAACTCAAAAAACGGATAGGAAGTGCTGGAGGCATGGCCCAAGTGGCAGAGTACCTGCCTAGCTGTCATAAGGCCCAGGTTCAAATAAGGAAGGGGGAAAGAGGGGAGGGAAAAGAGGGAAAGAGAAGGGCTGGGAATGTGGCTTAGTGGTAGATGCTTGCCTAGCATGCATGAAGCCCTGGATTCAATTCCTCAGTACCACATAAACAGAAAAAGCTGGAAATGGTGCTGTGGTTCAAGTGGTAGAGTACTAGCTTTGAGCAAAAGAAGCTCAAAGACAGTGCCTATGCCCTAAGTTCAAGCCCTAGATCTAGGAAAAAAAAAAGAGGGAAAGAAGAAAGGAGTAAGGAGGTAGGGAGAAAGGGAAAGGAGGAATGGAAGGGTAAGGGAAGGGGCAAGAATTGTTACATAACCCTAAGAACTTCAGACAAATGTGGCACTCAGAGATCTCAGCTCCAAGAGCTAGTAATCAGTTCCATCTAGGATGTACTGTATTTCCTTCAGTTGCTGGTCAACTCCCCTACACTAACCAGAGTGCCAGCAGATGTCAGATGACCTCAGGGGAAAGACAGACACCACAGGAATTGCAAAGGTACACTAGAAGTGCATATAGGTGCTGGTCTGGAAGGCTTTTAAATGCTGTCTCTTCCTAACTGCTGTGTGCATTCTGATTTGTATTTTCCTCACAGCTTTGCCCTCCACCATACCCAGTGCTATTCCTTTTGATGGGGACCAGCCACTATTGGCAAGTGAACCTCTGAATGTTGCCTTGGAATCTTCAAGATCATTCATTATTTAAACCCTGAGTAACTTGGACAAAGAAAAGATGACAGATGAAACTCTCGTATTTATCTATGCTTTTTCCCTAAATACACTAAATGAATGTAAACAAAACTTAACCAGGCAAAAGCAGCAGAGCTAGGCCAGTCTCCACACATCTAGGTCCTAGCTACTAGCTAGGTGGCCTGAGTTCTGCTATACAGACTGAATAACCTGATCTGTTACTTGAAGAAAAGAAGTTCATTGGTATTTCCAGGTAAAAGTCCCAGTACTTCTTACCTTAACAATTTTGATGGGGCTCATGTCCATGCTTTGCTTGGTGTGACCTCTCAGGAATGGAGGCTCTTCCTCAACCAGTTCAATCTCAAGGTCCTCATCTAAAAATCCAGCAAAAAGAAAATTAGGAGCTGAGAATGTGGCTTAGTGCTAGAGTGCTTGCCTAGCATGCATGAAGCCCTGGGTTCTATTCCTCAGTACCACATAAACAGAAAAAGCAGGAAGTGGAGCTGTGGCTCAAGTGGTAGTGTGCTAGCCTTAGCAAAAGAGGCTCAGGGACAGTGCCCAGGCCCTGAGTTCTAGCCCCAGGACTGGCCAAAAAAAAAAAAATTTTTTTCAAAAGAAATTTAGCCATAAACAAAAGAGAGAACCAATAATTTTCACCAAATGAAGATCAACTAGCTTTATTAAAAGGACAGCAATGGCTGGATACTAGTGGCACATGCCTAAAATCCTAACTACTCAGGAAGCTGAGATCTAAGGATCAAAGTTTGAAGCCAGGCAGCTCATACAATTCCAAGAGACTCTTATATCCAATTAATCGGCAAAAAGCCAGAAGTGGAAGCATAGCTCAAGTAGTAGTGGTAGTGCAGCCTTGAATGAAAAAGCCTGGTACCAGCATAACACATATACCCAAAAGACAGTGATACAAGTAAAACTCTAACCTAGTGAATGTCCCTCCCACTTTCAAGACCCTAAAGCTATTTCTAGGGCATTTGTGATGCTCCATAACACAAACTAATTAGAGCTGTTTTCAAAAGAAACTAAGCTTGGGGAAAATACTATTCTGACATTCTAATTGTTTCAAGACATTTGCCATTCAACCTCACAGGGAATAATCCTTAACCCATATAGACTAGGCAACACCTTTTTGTTTTTGGTGGCAGCCCTGGGGCTTGAACTCAGGACTTGGGTACTGTCCCTGAGCATTTTTTAACCTCAAGGCTAGTACTCTACAACTTTGGGTCACAGCTCCATTTCTCACTTTTGGGTGGTTAACTGGAAAAGCCAAAGAGTCTCATGGACTTTCATGCCCCGGGTAGCTTTGAACTGTAATCCTTGAGTAGCTAGGATTACATTTGTGAGCCAATGGCATGGAGGGAACAATGTTTTTAATTGTTGGATAAGTGGACAATGCTAAATACCAGTAAGGTATTATGTGTCAAAGTGTACATTATTACAAAAGTTTTAGCTGGCTTATAAAATAAACACACATTTTTCCTACTACTCAGTAATTTTTCTGTATATTATATGAAAGCACATATATCTTAGTATATAGAAACATGCACTAATAGCCGGGCGCTGGTGGCTCATGCCTGTAATCCTAGCTACTCAGGAGGCTGAGATCTGAGGATCGTGGTTCAAAGCCAGCCCGGGCAAGAGAGACCGTGAGACTCCTATCTCCAATAAACCACCAGAAAACCGGAAGTGGTGCTGTAGCTCAAGTGGTAGAGCGCTCGCCTTGAGCTGAAGAGCTGAGGGACAGCGCCCAAGCCCAGAGTTCAAGCCCCACGACCGACAAAAAAAAAAAAAGAAACATGCACTAATTGGCAAATATAGAGGCCTTATAATAGTCTTATATAAAAAGGCTTAAGAGGGGGGCTAGGAATGTGGCTTAATCATAAAGTGCTTGCCTTGGAAGCATGAAGCCCTGGGTTTGATTTCTCAGTACCACATAAACAGAAAAGGCTGGAAGTGGCACTGTGGCTCAAGTGGTAGAGTGCTAGCCTTGAGCAAGAGCCTCAGGACTGGCAAAAAAAAGGCTTAAGAGACAGGCACTGGTGGCTCACGCCTATAGTCCTAGCTACTCAGGAGGCTGAAATCTGAAGAATGTGGTTCAAAGGCAGCCAGGGCAGAAAAATCCATGATACTCATATCTCTAATTAACCACCAGAAAACTGGAAGTGGTGCTGTGGCTCAAAGTGGTAGAGCACTAGCCTTGAGTGAAAAAGCCCAGGAACAGTGACCAGGCCCCAATTTCAAGGCCCACAACTGACCAAAAAAAAAAGGTTTCAGAGAAAAAATATATATCTCTATCATATATCCATCAAAAAAAGTAAAATGGGAAAGTTGGTCGTTGTGGTACACCTGCAATCCTAGTACTTGGAAAGCTGAAGGCAGGATGATTGTGAGTTCAAGAGCAGCCTGGGCTACACAACTGGTCTCAATTAAAAAAAAGTAAAAAGAGGCTGAGATTTGAGGATGATGGTTGGAAGCCAGCCTGAACAGGAAAGTACTTAAAACGCTTATCTCTAATTAACTTCCAAAAAGCTGGAAGAAGAGCTGTGACTCAAGGGGCAGAGTGCTAGCTTGAGCAAAAAGATTAGGGACTGTGCCCTAGCCTTGAATTCAAGCCTCAGCCTGGTGCACACACAAAAAAGGAATAAATTAGAGTAAACTTATTCTAGAACAAGGAAAAAATGAAATATAATGATAAATATAATGATAAATATCAATATAGGCTAAGTATTAAAATAATGATTTGGGGCTGGGAAGGTGGCTCAGTGGTAGAATGCTTGCCTTGTATGCACGAGGCCCTGGGTTCAATTCCTCAGCACCACATAAGCAAAAAAGGCCAGAAGTGGCACCGTGGTTCAAGTGGTAGAGCTAGCCTTGAGCTGAAAAGCTGAGGGACAGAACCCAGGCCCAGAGTTCAGGCACCATGATTGACAAAAAATAAATAAATAAATAAATAAAATGATTAAAATGAGCAAAGTCTAAAACCAGACTAATGTGTTTAGGGACAAATATACAGATAATAAGCTTTAAAGAAAAGAAAGTGAATGATTAACACAAAATTCAGGATGGTGATTACCCCTGGAAGGAGAGAAGGTTTTCATCAGAAGGAGGCAGCTTCAAAGAGCTGGTAAAGTTCTGCTTCTCAAGTTGAATAATGAGAAAAAAAGCTGCTCACTTATTATAGTTATATAAATCACAAATACAAGGATGTGGATTTATTTCTGTATTTGTTTTTTAAAAAAAAGTCATTAATAACCAGGTGCTGGTGGTTTACTTCTGTAATTCTAGCTACTTAGGAGGCTGAGATCTTAGGATTATGGTTTGGATTTTTGGATTTTTTTTTTTTTTTTTTTGGTTGGTCGTGGGGCTTGAACTCTGGGCCTGCATGCTGTCCCTACACTCTTTAGCTCAAGGCTAGTGCTCTACTCCTTGAGCCACAGCGCCACTTCCAGGATTATGGTTTGAAGCCAGCCTAAGCAGGAAAGTCTGTAAGACTCTTATCTCCAATTAACTACAAAAAAAGCACGAAGCAGAACTGTGGGTCAAGTGGAAGAGCACTAGCCTTAAACAAAACAAAGATCAAGGCTAACATCCTGGCCCTGAATTCAAGCCCCAGGAACAGCACAAAACAACTACAACAGGAACCCATACTAACAGGCTGAGCTCATTACTATTTCTTTTTTTTTTTTTTGCCAGTCGTGGGGCTTGAACTCTTGGCCTGTGCGCTGTCCCTCCGCTCTTCAGCTCAAGGCTAGCCGCTCTACCATTTGAGCCACAGTGCAACTTCCAGCTTTTTCTGCTTATGTGGTACTAAGGAATCAAACCCAGGGCTTCATGCATGCAAGGCAAGCACTCTACCACTGAGTCACCTTCCCAGCCAACTCATTATTATTTCTGAGGCAACTCAATCATCTAGGTAAATCTAGCAATTATGCAATAATTACCAAGTTTACAAAATCATTATTTACTCCCTAAAATAAAATTATAACCCTTTTGTTGTGTGTCAGCACAAGACCTTGAACTCACGGCCTTGAGCTCTTGCTTGGCTTTTACACTAAGGCTGGCACTCTACCACTTGAGTCACAGCTCCAACTTCTGGCCTTCGGCTGGCTAACTGAAGAATCTCTTGGATTTGTCTACTCAGGCTGACTCTGGAGCTCAATCCTTCTTAGTCTCCGGAGTAGCTAGGATTATAAGTGTAAACTGGCAGCTCCCAGTTCAATAATAACCTTCTATAGCCTATAACCTTACTATAAGCAGTAAGTATAACAACATACACTTGGCCTTTGTGCTTCAACAAGAAACAAGTGGTAAGCCCAGAGGAATAGATGATTAGTAGACATTGGGCTGAACTACCAACAGCAGCTCAATGACTTATTTATGTTCCCAACCCATTATCCCTCTCAATCCAAAGGACAGGTTACCTTCATCATCATCCACCTTAGGAAGGATGCCAGTCTCTTCATCAAAGTCTGGAAACTCTTCTTTGGAAAGGACATTAGCAGCAATCATCTAGCCATAGGAAAGAAGGCAGCATTTGTATTTGCTAGATCAACACTTTTTTTTTTCTTTCTTTTTTGTCGGTTGTGGGGCTTGAACTCCTGGCCTGGGCACTAACCCTCAGCTCTTCAGATCAAGGCTAGCACTCTACCACTTGAGCCACAATGCCACTTCTGGTTTTCTAGTGGTTTAATGGAGAAAAGAGTCTCATGGACTTGGGGCTGGGAAGGTGGCTCAGTGGTAGAGCGCTTGCCTTGCATGCCTGAGGCCCTGGGTTCAATTCCTCAGCACCACATAAGCAAAAAGAAAAAAGCCAGAAGTGGCACTGTGGCTTAAGTGGGAGAGCGCTAGCCTTGAGCTGAAGAGCTGAGGGACAGCGCCCAGGCCCAGAGTTCAGGCCCCACAACCGGACCCAAAAAGAAACAACAACAACAAAAAGAGTCTCATGGACTTTCCTGCCCTGGCTGGGTTTGAATCATGATCCTCAGATCTCAGCCTTCTGAGTAGCTAGCATTACAGGCGTGAGCCACCATCGCCCAGCAACATTCTTCTTTACATGCAGGAAACCAAGGGTCTTTTCCTCCTCTGACCCAAAATGTCACTGCCTCAAATGGCACATACCTTATTCTTGGAGCTCTACAACACTGCTAAAAGCAGAGGTTCCGAAGTTATTCCCAGGAAGAACTAAACACCTTTCTTATTTCCACAGCACTCTACACATCTTATTACATGACACATTACACATGGCTATTCCTAATTACTTCTTGGTTAGCTTTTCTGCTCCCTTGAATTTTTTGTTGTTGTTGTTGTTGTTGTTGGTCATGGGGCTTGAACTCAAGGCCTGGGCACTATCCCTGAGCTATTCTATCACTTTGAGCCACAGCACCATTTCTGGTGGTTAACTGAAGATCAGAAACTTATTGACTTTCCTGCCTGGGCTGGCTTTGAACCATGATCTTCAGAGCTCAGCCTCCTAAATAGCTAGGATACAGGCGTGAGCCACAGGAGCCTGATACGGACTTTTTTCTTCCTGGTCCTGGGGCTTGAACTCAGGACCTGGGCACTATCCCTGAGCTTTTGTGCTCAACACTAGCACTCTACCACTTGAGCCACAAGCTTCACTTTCCACTTTTTGGTGGTTAGAAAGAAGTCTCACAGACTTTCTTGCCTGGCTGCTTTGAACCATGATCCTTATATCTCAGCCTCCTGAGTAGCTAGGATTACAGACATAAGCCACTAGCACCCTTGGGCTTTTTAAGTTCCTCAAGTGAATGAATCATTTGTTTTTGGAGCCCTACTATTAAACAGCCCTTGGTACATCTTGGTTCTAATGCTTCACAGAAAATGGTGGAAACAATAACAAAGAATTAAACAGCAACTACTGTCAGGCACCAACCTAAGAGTTAACTCTATTCACCTGTATTCCCACACTGTCACTAGTAGCCCTGTTTGACAGATGAGTCAAAGACCACACAATTAATAAGTGGTCAGAAATCACACCAGGATCAGTGCCTAGGGCCCACATCCTAGACCACCATGCTACATGATAAATGGCCCTGTGGCTGTGAATGATGATGGCCCTAACCTGTTTGATCTCCCACTTCTCTGGGTCAGAGATGCGGGTGAGGCGCTTGCGCTCCAGAGAGTCATCCTCTACTTCGGGGGCACTGACAAGGGAGAGGTGAGTGGGTCTGTCCGGATTCCGCATTGAAGTCTCCTCATTGGTCTCCCCAACCAAATTTCGCCGTCGATTTGGGTTTAGATCTTCTCCCGTCTCTTGATCTACATCCTGGGGCACAGAAACACAGGAACTAGCTCATTTGCTGTCTTCTTACACTCTCTTGGTCAACAGATGTGCCAACTGGCTGGACATCTTACCTACCTTCATGCTCAAGCTGGTCTTGGTCCCAGTGAAGGACAGCACTTTGACTTTGACTCTCTGGCCTTTGCTCACCACATCAGCAACATTGGCCACACGGCCTTCCCGCCGAAGCTCAGAGATATGCACCAGGCCTTCCCACCGCTTCCTAAGGGAGACATAGTCATATTTGGATCATGCCTAAAAAACCTTTTTCCTAAACCAGTTTCTACCCTTATTGAAAACAAACAAAAGAAAATACAGTTTTTGCACACTTTTTTTTCCTGTCAGTCATGGGGCTTGAACTCTAGGCCTGGGTGCTGTCCCTCAGCTCTTCAGCTCAAGGCTAGCACTCTACCAGTTGAGCCACAGCGCCACTTCCAGTTTTCTGGTGGTTAATTGGAAATAAGAGTCTCATGGATTTTTCCTGCCCAGGCTGGCTTTGAACCATAATCCTCAGATCTCAGCCTCCTGAGTAGCTAGGATTACAGGCGTGAGTCACCACTGTACCTGGTGTCTTTGCACATTTCTTCTAATCCTAGCACTTAGAAGCAGAGACAAGAGAATCATGAGTTTGAGGCCAGCCTGGGCTATGTGATAAGACTCTGTCTCCAAAAATATGAGAAGGATCCTAAGCCCACAAGGTAAATAACAAGAAGGTCAAGTAATACAACAATACTAACATTACTACCCTCCCAAAGAAAAGATGTGGTTAAGAGGGTAGGGTGAGGAGATATAAATTCTCCAGCAATGGGGCTGGGAAGGTGGCTCAGTGGTAGAGCGCTTGCCTTGCAAGCCTGAGGCCCTGGGTTCAATTCCTCAGCACCATATAAGAAAAAAGCCGGAAGTGGTGCTGTGGCTCAAGTGATAGAGTGCTAGCCTTGAGCTGAAGAGCTGAGGGACGGCGCCCAGGCCCAGAGTTCAGGCCCCACAACCGGACCCAAAAAAAAAAAAAATTCTCCAGCAAAGGGTAGATCTTCTCAAAGTTGAGGAAGAAAAGCTCTAGCACATTAAAAACAAAAAAAAAGAAAAAGGACAAGGCCAGGATCTAGTGATCCTAGCTACTCAGGAGGCTGTGACCTGAGGATCTTGATTCAAAGCCAGTCCAGACAAGAAAGCCATGAAATTTACCTCCAGCTAACCAGCAAAAAAGGCAGAAGTAGAGCTGTAACTCTAACTGTGCCAGCCATAATCAAAAAACTAAGGATAATAACCAGAGCATAAGTTCAAGCTCCAGTCTCAGCATGAGAAAAAAAAAAAGTCAAAGAGTGGTGGTATAGCAGTATATAGCAGAGACCTTGCCCAGAGGTCTTGGGCTTGATCCCGGCACTTCCAAAAAAACCCAAAAACATAAATTTCTAAAAACTTGGTATAGTTAATTTGATTAAAGTGTCAATAAAGCATAACATCTTGGAATGTGAAAACCTCAACATAAAGGTCTGCACCTCACTGTTGTAAAAGTGGTGACCATTACCTTAATCCCTCCAGCTGTACAAAGCATCCAAACTGCATGATGCTGGTAACTTTGCCATTGTAAATGTCCCCGATGGCAGGCTCCTCAGGGGGAGGGCGGTCCACATGCTTATCCCGCCATCTGTCCAGATTTCTCTCTCCATACTTATCCCGGTCCTTTCGGTCTTTGAGGGGGCTGTGACTCTTGCTCCTGGACCGATATCTAGACTTCCCTTTATTTCTCTCTCGGGTCCTGGAATGTGATCGAGAGCGGGATCGGTATCTCCGCTTGTGGTCTCTGTCTCGCTCTCTGTCTCTGTCTCGATCTCGCTCTCGGTCTCGGTCACGTTCTCGATCTCGACTCCGACTCCGCTTCTTTTTCTTTGTCCTGTCCCTAACAAATCAACAAGTACCTGTTTGAAAAAGAAATCAGCCCAATTTCATCTTTGCATCCCCAAACATCCAGCACAGTGCCATACCCATGGCAGGCATCTACTATGTGCTGAACTGAATTAGCTTCAATGATAATGACACTCCTGCAAGCCAATAAAGAAACAGGATACATACATATTTAGCCTTCTTTTTTTTGGTGCTGTTACTGGGGTTGAACTCAGAGCCTGAACACTGTCCCTGAGCTTTTTTGCTCAATGCTAGCATTCTACCATTCTAGCCACAGCTCCACAGCTTCTGGCTTTTTGGAGGTTAAGTGGAGATAAGAGTCTGGCTGGAGCCGGTGCCGGTGGCTCACGCCTGTAATCCTAACTACTCAGGAGGCTGAGATCTGGGGATCACTGTTCAAAGATAGCCAGCCCGGGCAGGAAAGTCCATGATACTCTTATCTCCAATAAACAACCACTGGAAGTGGTGCTGTGGCTCAAGCGGTAGAGTGCTCGCCTTGAGCTGAAGAGCACAGGGACAACACCCAAGCCCAGAGTTCAAGGCCCACGACTGACAAAAAAAAAGTCTGGCTGGTTTTGAACCAGAATCCTCAGATCTCAGTATTTGAGTAACTAAGCTAACAGGTGTAAGCCACTGGTACCAAGCACATTTAGCCTCTTTTAACTCCAATCTCTATCTAGCATTTGCTGCATAAATACTCTTAACCAGGAACAATGAAAACAAGCCCAAGAATGATAGATTCCACAAAACTGCCCCAAATTTTGCTTAACTGGTCTAAATAACGCAACTATTATAGTATCATAAATAAAAAAAAAAAAAAAAAAAAAAAACAGGATATTAGTGACAAACCGGTGTTCCGTGTCTCTCTGCTTCTCTTGGCCTGCTGCACTGGGCATTAAGGCTTCCAGTTCCTTTAAGACATCCACGGCAACCTTCACATCATCTTCATCCAGCATGGTCTACAGGTGCAGAGATGAGCAAAGTTAGGAGGAAAAGGGGATAAAAACACAAGCACCCTTCGGGCGCCAGTGGTTCACACCTGTAATACTAGCTACTCAGAAGGCTGAGATCTGTAGATCACGGTTCAAAGCCAGCACGGGCAGGGAAGTCTGTGAGACTCTTATCTCTAATGACCCAAAAGAAAACCAGAAATGGCATTGTGGCTCAAGTAGTAGAGTGCTAGCCTTAAGCTGAAGAGCTGAGGGACAGCACAGGCCCAGAGTTCAAGCCCCACCACTGACCAAAAAAAAAAAAGTTTCCCAAAGAGCCGTGAGCTGATGGCTTATGCCTATAATCCTAGCTACTCAGGAGGCTGAGCTCTGAGGATTGTGGTTTGAAGTTAGCCTGGGCAGAAAAATCCCGGTGAGACTCTTCTCTCCAATTAACCACCAGAAAAACAGAAGTGGTGCTGTGGCTCAAAGTGGCAGAGCAGTAGCCTGAGCAAAAGAGCTCAGGGACAGCACCCAGGCCCTGAGTTCAAGTCCCAGGACCCTACACTTCCTTCCCTGCTTTGCTCTCCGTGGCCCTACCACTGATATCACTCTCTACAGTGTACAGTGGGTAGCACTGTATACATATAATACAAGCAGCATTTTTGGTGCTGGGAAGGTGGCTCAGTGGTAAAGCGCTTGCCTTGCATGCATGAGGCTCTGGGTTCGATTCCTCAGCACCACATAAGCAAAAAGAAAAAAAAGCCAGAAGTGGCACTGTGGCTCAAGTGGTAGAGCGCTAGCCTTGAGCTGAAGAGCTGAGGCACAGTGCCCAGGCCCAGAGTTCAGGCCCCATGACCGGACCCCCCCCAAAAAAAAATAATAATACAAGCAGCATTTTCATCATATGAGGAAAACCAGAGGTGATTTCAAGTACATAAAAAGATATGTAGAAATTATGTAGATATGTACAAATACTACACCATTTTATATAAAGAACTAGAGTACAGATTTTCATGTAAGAGGGTTCTGGAGCCAATCCCCTGCAGATACTAAGAGGCAACTATACCTACTTATTACATTAGACTACTTACATGTTTATTTCCAGTTCACCATCCCAAACTATAATATAGTCATCAAGAAGGAAAAAAATAGATTGGAGTGATAACTTAAGCGTTAGAGTGTCAACCAGAGGCAAAAATGCTGAGTGAGAGTTTGAAACACTGAGTTCAAGTCCCAGCACCAGCATACCTCCCCAAAAAAGAGGAAAACTCTTTATCTATTCTGTTCATTGTATATACTAGATATAGAACTTTGAGGCTCTAGGCTCCCGGTGTCCAGGCCGCTCGGGCCGCTGCAGGAGGGCACCGCCGCCGGCCCAGTGAAGCCGGGGGCCAGAGCGGCCGGGCACCGCCGAGGGAGGAATAAACCAGTAAAACTGCAAAAAGAAAAAAGAACTTTGAATAGTGGTTGACATATAAAATAATAAATACTTGCTAAAGTGAAATCTAGAAGTCAAAATACCTAAAAAAAAAAAAAAAAAAGACACCTTTTAATATATGTAATGGAAAAAAAATCTAATTTCACACATTAGGCATGTACCAGTAACTGTAAGTTACTTCATAATGATCTCACATTTCTGATCCATCCCTACCCATTTCCCTTCTCTGAACCCTTTAACACTATTCTATGCAAACATAGTTCAAGCTCAGGGAGCAAACAAATGCTTTCACTCTGAAAAACAGGTCACAGCACAGGCAGTTACAATTCAGCAGGGCACCGGTTGCTCACGCCTATAATCCTAGCTATTCAGGAGGCTGAGATCTGAGGATCAGAGTTCAAAGCCATCCAAGGTAGGAAAGTCTGTGAGACTCTTATCTCCAATGAACCACCAGAAAACCGGAAGTGGTGCTATGGCTCAAGTGGTAAGAGTGCTTGCCTTGAGCTGAAGAGCTGAGGGACAGTGCCCAGGCCCAGAGTTCAAGCTCCACGACCAACAAAAAAAATTGAGCCGGGCACCAGTGTCTCACGCCTGTAATCCTAGCTATTCAGGAGGCTGAAATCTGAGGATCTTGGTTCAAAGCCAGCCCAGGCAGGAAAGTCCGTGAGACTTTTATCTCCAATAAACTACTAGAAAACTGGAAGTGGTACTGTGCCTCAAGCAGTAGAGCGCTGGCCTTGAGCTGAAGAGCACAGGGACAGCGCCCAAGCCCAGAGTTCAAGCCCCATGACCAAAAAGAAAAAGAAAAGTTACAATTCAGAGAGTCACTAACGAGACAAAGAATAGCGGTGGAGGACACACACTTAGAGCAGAAGTTCTCAAAATGGTATCCGTACCCGAACAGATGGATTGTCTGGCTGGCAAAGGACCGGGAAGAGTTCTTTCAGCTTTTCTTTTTCTGTTTTGGGTTTAACTGGATCTTATTTCATTAAAGAGCATGATGAGGTTAAAAAATAAGAGAGACAGATTTAATATTATTAATAGTTAACAAAATAACTTCAACATTACATTTACATTAAACTGAAAAAAGAATGTGGTATTTTTGTTACATGCTAACCACATAATTACTAGAAACACAATTTAATTTCCTATTAAGCACACATTGCCTGAAGAACCCTCAACAAACTCTCTTGCCATGTACAAAGAACAGTGCAGCAGCATCCACTGGCTTAGGTCTTAAAGTCATGTGAAAAATTTTACCAGAATGTTCACTTGCTGTCAGCTGCTGAGAGGAAAACAGCACAGTTTACAGGATGTTCATAATCTAAACCAGGCTGGACACTGAGGTCTGCTGGAAGTTGTGCTCACCTTTGCTAGTAGAAGGCTTTGCTGGAGGGCGCATGGTTTGTATGAGTCGAAGTAGATTACTAATAAGAGAATCCTTTGAAAAGAAATACAGAACAAAAATTGTCAGCCATTAAATCACTGATTAAATATACCTAGAAAAGGGAAAAAGACAACCTGGTACCAGTGGTTCATGCTTATAATCTTAGCTACTCAGGTGGCGAAGATCTGGAGAAATGCAGTTCAAAGCCAGCCTGGGTAGAATAATCTTGCAGACTCAATTTCCAACTAACCGGTAAAGTGTTGGTTGGGGGCATGGCTCAAGTGGTAGTGTCACTATGAGCAAGCAAGCCAGGTTTTTCAAGATCTTCTTGAGTTCAACCACAATACCAGCAGAGAAGAGAGAAGAGAGAGAGAAGGGAAAGAGGGAGAGAGGGAGAGAGGGGGAAGGAAGAGAGGGGAAATAGGGAAGAGAGGAAAGGGGAAAAAGGGAGAGGGAAAGGAGGGAAGAAGGAAGAAATAGAGGAGACAGAGACTGTCTTAGTGGAAAGGGTGATATGTACTTGAACTGAGCTAACCAGAACAAATGAAGCACCAGATACCAATCAGCATTAAGCCAGATTAGTAGCTCCAGAGAAAGCTGATGTTTAGGACTCCTTGAAAAGTCAATTTGTAACCTTAATCCATTTATTTCCCATACTTCCAACATCTTGAATCTTGTTTCTGCATTCAAGATTCACAGAACAAATATATAAACATCCACAGAGGAAAGCCCACTGCATCTCCCTACAAAGGTGTCTCAAGAAATCGGGTTCCCTTGGCCCTCCTTCATGGCACAAAAACATTACTCATTTAGTGGCTTACTGAACTGGTACATACAGTATCCTGTCTATATCCAAACCCTGTAATAAGTACTATCAAAACTTAAATTTAATAGTGACATTAAAAAAAAATAGTGACATTAAATATACATACTGTGAATTCTGCTCCATTTTTGACAAGGGAAGACTTAAATGTATCAAAAGTGGTATTTTTCTCAGCAAGACTGATCACAAATTCAGCTACAAAGGAGAAAAAAGAATTGAAAAGAAACTTGAGGAAGAAATTAGTTTTAAGCATATTAAAGAACAAGACTAAACTGGGTGCTAGTGGCTCATGCCTGTAATCCTAGCTACTCAGGAGGCTGAGATCTGTAGGTTGCAGTTCAAAGCCAAACTGAGCAGGAAAGTCCATGAGACTCTTATCTCCAATAAAACTACCAGAAAACCGGAAGTGGTGCTGTGGCTCAAGTGGTAGAGCTCAGGTACAGCACCCAGGCCCAGTGTTCAAAGCCCCATGACTGACAAAAAAAAACAAAAAACAAAAAAAAAAAGACTAATTAGGGTATCCAACTGTCATAATGACCGAAGGATATCATGTAAAGAAAGAAAATTTAGATGGTTGAAATTATTATCCTTGTATACCGAATTAAGTATTTTTTTGTCCCTAAGTACTGGGGTTTTAATTCGGGATTTTGCATTTGCTAGCCAGGTGTTCTATCACTTGAACCAGTTCTTTTGGTTCCGCTTATTTTAAGATAGGGTCTTACTCTTTGCCCTAGCCAGCATGGGCCATGAGCCTCCCATTTTACACATAACTGGGATGCAGGTGTCCATTACCAGTCCCAGCATTTTCTGTTGAGATGGGGGGTCTTGGGCATTTTTTGGCTGGAATGGCCTCAAACCTCAATCCTCCTATTTCATTGAATAGCTAGGATTACAGGTGTGAGCCACTGGGACCTGGATTTAAAGAGAACTGTGTGCATGTGTGCACAAGCACATGCACACGCTGGTACTCAGGAGCTAGGCACTCTTCCCTTAGCTTTTTTGCTAAAGGCCAGAGTTCTGCCACTTGAGTCATAACTCTACTTCCAACCACTTGAGTCATAACTCTACTTCCAGCTTTTCACTGGTTAATTGGAGATAAGAGTCTCAGGATATGAGATCTGAGGATTTCAGGCTGGCTTTGAACCATTATCCTCAGATCTCAGCCTCTGAGGGCTAGGAATACAGGCATGAGCCTTTTTGGTGACATTAAGTGAAAGTCCATGAGCCATCAAGCTACATGGTTATAACTTATGCATAATAAAGTTAGCATAGAGCTGGGAAGATGGCTCAGTGGTAGAGTGCTTGCCTTGCATGCATGAGGCCCTGGGTTCGATTCCTCAGTACCATATAAGCAGAAGTGTTAGCCTTGAGCTAAAGAGCTGAGGCTCAGAGTTCAGGCTCACGACCAACCAAAAAAAAAAATTTAACAGCAATGCAATGGTTAACAGTTGTTTGGCATTACTGTCAAGCATTATGCTAAGGGTTTTAAATGCTGTCCTCAAGATCTTCCTAAGTAAGTACTACTATCATATTGGTATTTAAGACACCATCCTAAGCTGTAATCCTAGCTACTCAGGAGGCTGAGATCTGAGGATCATGGTTCAAAGCCAGCCCAGGCAGGAAATTCCGCAAGACTCTCATCTCCAATAAGCCACTCAGAAAACCGGAAGTGGTGCTGTGGCTCAAGTGGTAGAGCACTAGCCTTGAGCTGAAGAGCTAAGGGACAGCACCCAGGCTTAGAGTTCAAGCCCCAAGACCGACAAAAAAAAAAAAAAAGACACCATCCTAGTCAATCGTAATTGGTGGAGCCCTACATTTGGAATCCAAACAATTTGCCTCCACTCAAATTCTTTAGAGACAGTTGGAGAGAAAATTAAGTCACACGATGTTCAGCGTGTCAAGCTTAAGGAGCATTTTATCCCAAAGCAGGCAGGAGCATATTCATATTCACCAAAGTTTTTAGGTTTCCGATTTTGAGTTTAGGGACGCTCAACCTTGGATGGAAGGCAAGGGAAAAATAAATACTGTCTGCAGTGCATCTTCCTAGGTGCAATGTGTTGACTCTGTAAGGAAGACATTATCATCTCACTTCACAGACGAAAAAAAAAAAATAGCTTCAGAAAAACTATCTCTCACTTAAGTCATGAATCTGATCTCACTAACCTTTTTTTTTTTTTTAAGCGGTGGTGCTGGGGAACAAATCTACACACTCTACCACTGTACCATCTCCCCTGCCTTCTCCTACCATGTGACTCTTGTTTCCCTCCACCCTTCCATCTGACTTTCCCACATATTTAGAAACAAGAGCAGTCAGATGGCAATTTCTCAGTCATCTTCCTACCACCAGTCTGTAAACCCACCTACATTCACAACAACATACTCCTGTTGGGCTGGGAATGTGGCTTAGTGGTAGAGTGCTTGCCTAGCATACATGAAGCCCTGGGTTCAATTCTTCAGTACCATATAAGCAGAAAAAGCAGGGCCACAGGATATATTGATTCAAGTCTGGCTGTTGTTCTCGCTCTCTCTCTGGTTGTGCTCACACTCTCTCGTGGGCTTTCCCTCCCTCCCTCTCTCCTCTCTCTCCCCTTCTCCCCCCCCCCCCCTTTCTCTGGCCAGTCCTGAAGCTTTGAACCCAGGGCTTGGGGACTGTCCCTGAGCTTCTTTTGCTGAAGGCTACCACTCTACCAACACTATCTCCCAAAGGCTAGAGGACCAAATAAGACGAAGTAAATAGAGCTGGCCAGAATGCCTGGCATACAGTTCACATCCAACAAACAAACGTCAGTCATAATTGTCCATCTACGAGGCGGCAGCTGTTGTCGTTGTTAAATATGTTTAAGCACCGGAGACTGAAAAATTAAAAACAAAAACTAAGTAGAGATGGTCAGCCCGGCCTGACTCAACAGTTCTGAGAAGTGGTTTCTAACAGTTCAGTTTGGAAGGTCTTCCAGCAGAGACCAGGGCGGCTACCTCCCTCCATTTCAACCCCACACCGCCCATCACCTCCTAGCACCGGCTTCGCTCAACCCCCAGCTCCGAAGGCCGAAGGGACCTTCTCCAGCTCACCTAGATCCTTGTCGTTGATCCCTAAGTGATTGTCCAGTTCCGTGCAAACCTTCGATACCAAAGACAAATATTCGAGTTTGGCGAGCTCCTCCGCAGGGCCTGGCTCCGAGGCCATCAGCATTCCCGCGGTGGCCACGGCCACAGCCATAGCGACAGCTTCGGCCCCGATGGCCTCCTTCCGGACGGCCAGCGCTCACTCGGAACTGCAGCTTTTACTTCCGGGTCTCTGCGCGACTTTGTTTACGGTGAGCTGAACGCGAAGGAACTTTTCTAGTCTCTCGCAGGCGGATCATAGAGCTCACACAGGAAGTTCTTGAGGAAGGGACGGCAAGAGGGAGTTGCTCGGCAGATCGAATGGCGCCCTCTATAGGCGAGAGGACTCTCCCCGCCCTCAGATCCCGCGATGTTCATTCTTAGAACACTCCCGCACGACGTCAACAGAGGGCGACAGTGGCCTGCTCCAGGAGCGCCGGGAGGAGACCGCCGCGAACAGCACGCGCATGCGGCTGCGAAGCCATAAGAAACGCTAAATTCATTTCTGGAACTCTGTGTTCCTAGGCCTCTCTCCTCTTTTGTGGCTCCTGGTATCTGATCTCGAGCGACTTTAAACGATGCATTCTGGTTCTGTCATTGACTCTTCTCATTTTAACAGATGAGAAAAACACTGACGAGCTAGGTGACCTTGGTCAAGTTCCTCTGTTCCTCATCTGTAAATGGGAATAGTATGGTTCTAACTGCTTTACATGAGAACTGAGTGAAATAATTACGGGAGAGCCTGATGCATGATAGGCACACTGTAAATGGCAATTGCTGTTATGTCGCAAGGCTGAAACAGTGGTGCTGAGATCAGTCAAGCAGCCTCCTGTCTTGTGAAACTTCCCAAATTCTACTTGTCCTGTTGCCAGTACCATTCGTCTTCTCAGAACTCATTCTTCACCAATTATCAGCTGTGCTGTGAACTTAAGATCATAAACTCAGGTCTCCCAACTTCTGCAGGTCTCTTGCCCTTTGAAACCCTAAGGTAAGGTGAGGCTTTCCCCACACTTCTGTACTCAATGTGAGAAAGCAAGTAGGTTTGATTGACCCTGTCAATCAAAGGGAAGAAAATTAGCCCCTCCTGCTTTCTGTTTTGATTGCATTGCATTCCTGTACCTGTGGATTGCATTTATCTAGCATTTCACAATGGACTAGAGAATTGCAGACAGTCAGAGAAAAACCTGAGCTGTGTTTTTCACTGTTTCCAAGAGCTAATTCCCTGCTCTAGATTCCTCAGAAATCAGTACTGCACACGCTGAGCTCTTGGCACGCCTCCTTTCCTTTCTCCTTCTCTTTTTCCCCATGAATGGAATGGAAAGGGAAACACTGCAATTTATCCAACATGTTCAACTTGCCAGCTTGGCCTTAGAATTTCAGAAGTTTATTTCACTTGATTTCCTTTCTCTGTGCCTCTTTGCCTTTATAAATTAATATTTCTAGGTTGTATATGGTGGTTTATGCCTGTAAACACATCTACTTGGAGTTGGGGAAAAGGAAGATAATGGTTCAAGGCTAGCCTGGGCAAAAAGTTAGTGAGATCACATTTCCATTTAAAAACCAGAGGTGGTAGTATATACCTTTCATTCCAGCTATGCAAGAAGCATAGGTAGGAGGATCCTAGTCTGAGGCCCAGTGGACAAAAACACAAGATCCTACATGAAAAGTAACAAAAGCAGAAAAGTACTCAAGGCATGTCTCAAGATAGAATACCTGCCTAGCAAGTATGAGGCCCTGAGTTCAAGCCCCAGTACTACCAAAAAAAAAAAAAAAACCCTAACAGCATTTCTATTCTTCTGTACTCCAAAATTTAACTGGAAATACGAGAATCATAAGTTTGAAGCTAGCTATGTAGTAAGTTTGAGGCCAGGATGGGCTGAATAAGGTGAGATCCTGTCTCAAAAAGAAAAAAGGGGGGGGAGGAGGCTATAGAATCATAACATACAAGTAGTAGCAGTAAATACAACAAGAGCTTTTATACTTGTTTAGGAATCACTGAACATAAGTCTCCATAGTAACATATTAACAGCAAAGCTATTAAATTTTATTTTCATATGCCACTAACTGCCCATTTTCAGCAGTGACAGTTTTATGCAATACTATGTATTTCCTGTAACACCTAAGAATTATGAAAGGTAAACAAATCTATTGAGAAAGGTAACAGTTTAAACAAAGATGAATGTGGAATCCTCCTACTTTCTTTCCATGTAAGAGACACGGAACCAATTACATGCCTGTAATCCTAATGAGATCTGAGGATCATAGTTTGAATCCAGCCTGAGCAAAACCATGAAACTCTGGTTCCAATTAACCACCAAAAAGCTAGAAATGGAACTGTGACTCAAATGATAGAGCACTAGCCTTGAGCACAAAAGCTCAGGAACAGGGCCCAGACCCCAAGTTCAAGCCCCAGGCAAAGAGTGAATGTAGGGCCCTTAGTGGTGGTATACACCTGTAATCTCGTCCCCTGGAAGCTGAGGCAGGAATATGGAGACTTTTAGCTGCTTTGGGATATTTTCATTTTAAACTATAATATCAGATAAAATTAATTGGCCACTACAGTTATTGGTAGTTGCCAGTAATATAGTCACATGTATTCAAAAAAATGTTTTTGTTGGTGAGAAAAATCACAGGGCTTCCTGATACCAAAACAAAACAGTGTTACAAACCAAGACAGCCCTAGCTTTTTCTGCTGGGTTGAAGCAGGGACCTTGGGGACAGCTCCCCTGCTCTAGACTGTAAAATCAGAACAGTCTGCGGTTAATTATTGATTGCCATTCAACAATTATTGTCTGTGTGGTGAGGAAGAAGGGCTTGAAACTAGGAGTGGAACTCAGGGCCTGGATACTATCCCTGAGCTTTTTCACTCAAAGCTATTGCTCTACCACTTGAGCTACACTTCTGCTTCCAGTTTTTTGCTGGGTAATTGGAGATAAGAATCCAACCAGGCTGGCTTGGAACCAGGATCTTCAAACCTCAGCCTCCTGAGTAGCTAAGATTACAAGCCATTAGTGCTGGGCAACAATTCTTGTCTTTTCCTGGGAAACTTCCGGAAAAAATGATCCAACTGGAAAGCCTACTATCTATCTGTCCTAAAGACACTAGCAAGAATGATGAGAAGAGCCCTTTCCTCTGAGGTCCTTGCTGCTGAGCAATAGGACTCCAGAGAAAGGAATCATCCCTTATTAGCCACTTGACTTTTCCCCAGAATTCGTCTCTAAATTGGAAACAATTCATCAGAATTGTATTGGACATCTACTTTTTTTCTGGCATTAGGCCTTAAACTCAGGGCCTCAGTGCTGTTCCTTAGCTTTTTCACTCAAGGCTGGTGCTCTACCACTTGAGCCACACCTCCACTTCTGGCTTTTTGTTGGTTACTTGGAGATAAGAGTTCTCATAGACTTTGAATTTCTCATAGCTGGATTTGAATTTCTTTTTTGTTTTTGTTTTCATTGGTCGTGGGGCTTGAACACTAGGCCTGGGCGCTGTCCCTGCTCTCTTCAGCTCAAGGCAAGCACTCTACCTCTTGAGCCACAGCACCACTTCCCTGGCTTTGAATTTCAATCCTCAGATCTCAGCCTCTTGAGTAGCTAGGATTATAAGTGTAAGCCACCAGCTCCCAGCTTGTTAGCTACTTTGTGCCCAGGCACTGTGGTATGTTCTGGAAAGGATCATGAGGGATCTGAAAGATAGCAGAAAACATTAAAAAATGAAAACAAGAATATTCTAAATGCCACACTGAGCCGAGAGCTCTGGGCAGAGCTGTGTTTATAACTCAAGTCTCTCTGCTGCTTAAACATGAGGCAGGTGATTAGAAGGCAGAAAAACAACACAGATCTGTTTCCTGTCATCTGGAGGCAGTTGGGGAAGGGCAGGGAGGAGTCAATCCCCGCCAGGGCCATCTCATGAGGTAATTTATTCTGTTGCAATCTTTTATTTGTCTATCTTATCTTCAGTGGACAAGAGCAGCCTCAATTTTGTGCAAAACATTCCTGACCTAAAATTCCCTCTCTTCTTAGATTATTAACCTGCCATCAATAATAATGAATGCTGCACAGCTTTAGAATATTAGGTAAAAATCATTCTTCCCCAGCAGATGTTTTCTCTTTCTTAGTCAGGTTTCCAATTTTCTCTTACTTTAAGGCTATTTTTAAACTCTTTCTTTTTATTTACTCTCTTATTTTTGTTTTTCTTTGTTAGTTTTTACCTATCATACATGATAGGCAAGCGCTGATCTATTGATCAGTGCTAAGGCTGTCTTATAATGCCAGGCTAGCCAGGCACTAGTGGCTCATGCTTTTAATCCTAGCTACTCAGAAGGCAAGATCTGATAGTTGTGGTTCAAAGCCCAGGCAGAAAAATCTATTAGACTCTTATCTCTAATTAAACACCAAAAGGCCAGACATAAGCTGTGGCTCCAGTGGTAGAATACCAGCTTTGAGCAAAAGAAAGAAGAAGAAGAAGCCCAAGGACTGTATTCAGGTCTGAATTCAAGCCCCAGAACAGACACAGACACACACAGACACACACAGACACACAGACACACAGACACAGACACACACACACACACACACACACACACACACACACACACACACACACAAAATGCCAGGCTAAACCGGGCACCTGTGGCTCACACCTGTAATCCTAGCTACTCAGGAGACTGAGATCTGAGGACCAAGGTTCAAAGCCAACACCAGGCAGAAACCTGAAAGACACTTTTCTCCAATTAATACCAGCAAAAACTGGTAGAGTGCCATCCTTGAGCAAAAATGCTGAGTGGCCAGGTCCTGAGTTTAAATCCCAGTCTGGGTGCAAATGCGCACATGTGGACATGCAAGCACACACACACACACATACACATACACACACACAGGCTAAAATAAAGCAAAAGCAAACTTAGAAACCCTACACACGGGGGGGGGGTGCGGGGGGAGTAGTTGGGGAGGTGGGAAGAAAGGGATGGTAGGGGAAAAACAAAAGAGGAGGCAAGAATGCTTGATAGGAAATGTACTCATTACCTTACTCGTAACTGTAACCCCTCTGTACAGTATTTTTACAATAAAAAAGTATATAAAAAAAAGAAACCCCACACACAAGGATGTTAGCTTGTCAAAAAATACATCGTACATTTCTTCCTCTTTACTTTCT